TTACCTGTGATGAAGAGTCCGTTGATTGCACGGGTGCAAGAATTACAGTTATGTAATGCGTGTCTTCAAGCAAGTGGTTGTGTGTGAACATTTTTTTTTTTGAAGTTGCAAAAAACGAAATTGTTCTGTAATGGAACAGATTGTATATAACTAAGTTTAGTTGATGCAACAGGGGTGGCCGGTAAGGGATGATTGAATGTTCTTGAACACCGGCATGTGTCCCAAACTCGTAGCTAGTCTTATCTAGACAGATTACGTTTTGAATAAAAGTTCATTAGTCAGTTGCAGTATTGTGGATAATGTAGTACTCAGGATGAGAAAGGAAGTCTTTTTAATCATATTTATCAAGGGAAAATGAATCCACTGGAGTGGGCTAATATGTTTTTGATTAAATGTTTTGAAATTTGATACAAGGAGATCATATTTGATTTCAAACATATGGTGCTATTTGTAGAAATTTAGAGTTTGGGAGATATATTTGTGTGTGGGATTATATCCAAGGTGTACAATAGTTGGATAGTGATTTTCTTTTTATTTTTACTAATCTTTTCTTTTTTTTAGCAGAAAGAGACTCCATTTTTAATTACAAGCATTTTTTAGTCTGGTAATAAGAAGGTATTATAAAGCAAGACAAATGTTTGCTATAGAATATTATGCTTGGATGTGTTTCTCTAATTTAATCATGTTGCGCTTTTACTGTAATGGTACTGCGCTTGCCAAAGAGGAACATCCATCGCTGCATAATTACTCTCCTATTATGTTCTATCTTTCACTGAATGTACTTCACGGTCTTGAACTTAGTAAACCAACTCTGAAATGAAACCAGCCATTCTCGCCAATATTAAACGGTTCACTCATGGAGAAAATTATTTTTCATCCCAGAACCTTCAGCTTAAGCCAGTAGCAAGATAGATAAATTAAAAGAGGAAACACAATCTTGTATGAAAGATTAGGTTATTATAACCATAGTTCCTTGGGTATAAGCCCACATTCTACTTTTTGCCCAATTTCACTATATGTATTTGTCTTTCCTCGGGCAAAAAACATAAAATATTCACTTTGAATTAGGTATACAGTGCCTGCAATTCTGCAAATAATAATTATGATTTAAAAAAAGAAAAACATTTATGTAAATTTTTATGCGACAAAGAAAATAATTGGATGCTAATCTAACATACAAGAACTTACATATTGACCTATAGGTGCATTGCTTGCTTGACAAAATAATTTGTTTATTGAAAAAAAAAAATTGTTTTGCAAGCCGCGGTTTCTGAGAATTGTGTATGTGAAGAAGTACATTGTTTTGACGACTGGGAGATTAAGCTAAAGGTCAAGCGTTCTTAACATATTACAATAGTAGCTGAGTGATATTGATGACATCTTTAATGTGTAATTATCATGAAATATTGCTTTGCGATTTGCGCCTTACTTGTTAATGATTCTGTGCACCACTAAGCTTTGTCCACTCTATCAACTTTCATGTGAAAAATACTCTATCTTCGTTTGCCTATATATGGGCAAATCCTAGATATTTGTCACATAAAACTTGGATAGTGTCAAAAGGGCTTTACAAATTGTCAGTTGTTCCAAAATGGATAAGGCAAAGGTGGCTGCTAAAACAAGATTTTCTCTTGTTTATTGAAAATAATAAGTGCATAAGGTCATAAGATCATCTGAAATAGTGGAATAAGCGTGGGACTAGACATGTGGTGATTGGTTGATCAAACTTTTTAAGTATTATTTTAGGAGTCTCTCCTATCAAGTAAACAAGTAAAATAGGTTTGTCAAAAATCTATCAATATTTACAATTAGTTGTAAAAAAGTCGATCTGTTTATTTATGTTCGCACTGTAAGGCCAAAAGAATTCATAGTCAAACCATGACAATTTATCAATCAGTATCAGTCAGTCTGGATTTTAGCAATATACTATTAGGCCAAGTAATATTGTGAAAAAAGGAGAATGAAGGCACTTTTTTCCACTGTGATGGCAAATCCAAAATGCTCGAGAAACTAGTAATTTTATTTATTTGGCCTTAGTCCTAATGTTATGGTTAATAACAACCATTATTTATTTTAGTGGGTTAACTAAGCTAAAATCAAACCAAATATTATTGCATATAAAGATATTGATAAAAATCTTATATTAAAAAAAAATTTTTTTTAGCCAATTTGAATTTCAAAATGGCAGCAACTATGCAGTAATATGTTTTAATGATAGTGTCATAGAACCACTGTGGGAAGTTTCATGCTTTTCTGCAAAAATGCATGATTATCTTAGCTGCTCTATAGGCCTAGGCTTATAAAGGGTTCACGGCAACCACCATCATTTAGCCCATATAGTTTGATTGGTAAAAATGTAATCCCTAGAGTAAATCCATGGTTTATGCTATCATATTTATTTTAATAAATTACTTTAAGCTCAAATAATTTGTTTTCATCAATGTTATTAATAACATATGATGACATGTGCCCTTTAGTTCTGCTACTAATTACTGATTTCATTCAACGATATATTAGGTAAATCTTTCAATACCTTAGTGTATACTCTTAATTATATGAGATGAAAGATCTGCTTAAATCTGAAGGAAGTGTAGATATATTTATACATTTTTTATAGACAAATATCATGTAATTCATCACACATTCACAGGAATATATATTTTTCAGCCCATGTCCTTATACTGTATAACAAGACACTAAAATAGATGAGATAAAATAGTAAAAATATTTTGCACCTGACTGCAATTAATAGACATTCACTGTTGATACTAAAGACTTAATAATGATCTGTTATCTTTAAATAGCATCTTATTATATTTTGTACATTTTGCTTGTAATCCATCATAATTATTTATTTTAAACATTTTTTTTAGGTATTATAGGAGGAAATTGATGATCTTAATTTGGTAACTGAAAGTTGCTTCTGATAAACTATGTTAAGCTATAATAATTGTTGTAATATATTTGTTTGGACTTGTACTTATATAACAACAACATACTTAGTTAAAAATAGTTGTGTACATAAAGCAGTCAAGCCTGTACTGGTCCAGACTTCCTACCCCTCTTTCTTTAAAGCATTGGTACAAGATGCTGCAATGCTTTCAGGTCATCACCACTGCTGACAGCGAACCAAACACTTCCGTATGTGTACATAACTATAGAGTATGGCGATACATTAATGCTCTGAAGCATTTAATAACTTATCCATAGAGTATAAATAGAACAAGAGAGCCAACTACGCTCATTGACAATGTGAACAAACAATACGCAATACGTAGCTAGTGTATAACGCGTGCTCTCATTTGTATGTTCACCCGCATGGTACTTGCACAGTTTTAAAAGTTTTCTACGTTTGTTGTCTATTTACCAAGTTCATAACAAGCGTGTTTTATTACGTACATGGTGTGTACACTGGGCCTACGGTTTAAATTCTTTATCCGAGAAGACTTGTTCCACTACCGGAACCATTGGCGAGTGAGCCATTTGAACCAGCGCCAACAATATAGCTGAAGGTTATGGTGCCCTTGACTTAACCGCTCAGCCAATCAACTCACCTAATGAATCTCTAACATGATTTGAAACGACATTAACAATATTAACAGTAACCGAGGCGATTATTACATTCAATAAAGAATTATATCTTGAAATTGCAATATTGATGTACCTTATTTTGTGGTTCAAATTTGGCTTTAAAGGAATTCTAGAACAACTTATTGAGAGAAATATCTACTGTACAAACAGTAGAGTACTATTTTATGAATTATTTGTATTTTATTAATATTTTCTTCTAGTAAGTTATTTTTATTGTCTTTAAAATTTATTGTTGCTGTTTAAGGCTGTAAATAATCTATTACCATTATATCATTTGTTATGTATTGAACAAGTATTTTATATTTTATGTGAAATATCATATACCGTACAATACTGTACAATTGTGTTTGTTTTATAATTTTATCATAATTATGTATAAATTAATTATTTTTCGTAAATTATTTCTATTGTCTTATTTATTATGTTGTAATGTTGTTGTTAGGCTGTAGTAATAATAATAATAATAATACAGTAGTAGTAATAATAATAATAATGGTAGACTTATAGCGCATTATGAAAAGACCTCTATGCACTTAACATTATTTGTTATATTATATATAGAGTGTGTATATATATATATATATATATATATATATATATATATATATAAACAAGAGTTTTCTATTTAATATCTGACTTCAAATGATTCCATGATTAATAAAATGGTACAGATAGAAATACCTCGCTTAATAAATAGCCGATAATATATATATAATATACAAATTCAGCTGTAGCCAAGGTAACATACTATCTAGTAATGTTCAATATAAATATTGTTGCGGTTACCTTTTATGGTAAAAGAATATTATTCTTTGATAATTACACGCAACTTTACCATAGTACAATGACCTTTTGACTAATAAACACCTAATCTAGTATTAGTTGATTTATTAGTTGGTTAATTGTTGACCTCATTCTTTTAGCATTAATTAATATTTAATTATATTTGATTTGTTTATCTTTTGGCTCATGATAAATTATTGTAAATCGTGTGCAAGCTAAATTAGATCTGTTAAGCTCTGTCCAGATTTATCAAAGTTTCTGTGACAAAAATGTAAAAAGAATTTTACTCAGGTAGTTAAAGATGACATTTTTTGTTTCCTAATGGGGCCCCCTCACATAATCATCGAGGCCTCCCACCCAACTTAACATTCGCTACCCCTGTGAGCACCCTATGTCAATTCCTAGATACGCAACTGATTTACAGAATATGAAAATCCTTTCTTTCAACCAATTATAGTGTATGGCAAAAGATAGACAGTTGTAATGTGTTTGTACATTGGGGAGGAATATATTCTTGTGGTAATTTCCTATCCAATTGAAGACTAATAACTTATTTAATAAAATAAATATACAGCAATTCCACAGAGTTGATGTCTGAAATTTTTAGTTTTTTGTTTTTGTTACAGCTCTCGTAAGACCAATACGGCTGAGGATTATAAAAATAAATATTGCGATGATCAATTTTCTGAGGAGGATGAGCCGGAGGAATTGCTCGGATCAGATGATGATGAGCAAGAGGATCCCAAGGACTACTGTAAAGGTACGCTTGGCTCTATTTATCTTAGTGTAGCGATATAAGGTTTTATTAACCCTTGGAATTTTTTTTTGTGCAAGTGCTTGACCAGGTTATAAGCTTTTTTTATTAGGTATGATAGCAATATTGGTTTTCCAATCTTGTACCAAGTATGAAATAATTTGCATTGAAATTTACCATAAAATTTTGCCTACGTTAGTATTCTATTCGATATCTGATCCCCAACAGTGGTGATGGTAACAATGAATTTGATTTTCCTATAAATTTACTATATTATTTTATAATTATTAGTGAACGAAGAGACATTACCCCAAAAAAGAAATATACATGTAGGAAATGAAATGTAAAATTCATGATTCATAACCCATTTGACCAATCATTCTCTAAAGTAACTCCCTTGATTATTATGTGCTTCTGTCACTATAGCAACATTGGTACATTCATAGACAGTCTGAAGATACTTCACATGATGACCTATGACCTTAGTCATTGGATACATAAACAATAATGTGAAACCAGCCTACTCCATGGGGAGGGTTTCTTGTCATAAATGCAGTCAGTAAAATTAAACACAGATTTATTAAGCATGCAACAAACATCGCTTCATATTGGCAGCTCATTAATATTACATGTATTTGTAATAAGTGGTATATAAATGTATTTATCATTTCCTTAATTTATAATTGAACATTTATTAAAGATAGTCATTTTATTTTAGAATATTTTATCCTAAAACATCGCTTCATATTGGCAGCTCATTTGTATTATGTATTTGTAATAAGTGGTATATAAATGTATTTATCATTTCCTTAATTTATAATTGAACATTTATTAAAGATAGTCATTTTATTTTAGAATATTTTATCTTAAAACATCGCTTCATATTGGCAGCTCATTTGTATTATGTATTTGTAATAAGTTTTATATAAATGTATTTATCATTTCCTTAATTTATAATTGAACATTTATTAAAGATAGTCATTTTGTTTTAGAATATTTTATCTTAAAAAAAATCAATTTATTTGGTTGTAACTTTTCTGTTTATGAGTAATTTTTTGTTCATGAACGTTTTCAATATTGTCAACTCAAGGTCTAAATACCGTATTGCCTTTCGCACTTAACTTGTTTATTTCTTATTGGTTCAAGATCACTACCATTTAATGATTAAAATGTGATGACAATTTACTAAAAACCTCATAATTTTCTGCCTAACCTAATTCCCAGCATGCCCTCTCCTGGTGTCTATTTTGATTAGTTCGACAAGGTCATATAATTTCTTTTCGGGAGAAAAACTGTTGATTTTGAACTGAAGATGAAAGAAACGTTGCTCGTAGATCCGTACTCAACTGTGACACAAGGTTGTATCTTTAGTAATATTGTAGTTAAAGATCTGTCAACAGTGAAATGAAATATTGAATTTATTTTTCAAGGTTATTAACTCAAAATAGGCATAATATTTTTTTTATATTATTAAAAGACACAATGGCCATCTAGAGTATACTTACAATTTCCATGATGTTCCATTAAAATATCTGCTGACAACATGATTATTTTGTTTATTATTTCACAGGTAATTTCATTTTAATCAGTTAATTGACAGTGTTTAGCCTTTTCAATGCTTTATCATCTATGTGACAAAACAATAAATTATTAAATAGTTATATTATATCTGTACATTTTTTGATAGGTTCATATACAAAGTAGTTACCGTTGTTCTTTTGGTGTGTTAGTATACTCTTTGTTGCTATAGTAATACCTAGATACAAACATTGGGTTCTATTGGTTTATTTACAATCAATCATTAACAATTTAGAGGATACAAATTTGATTAAGGTTGACATCACGCTTTTTTTATTTCAATGGTTAGTGGTTTTAAATAAGGTCCCTTGACTTGTATTTTCATTTTTGTTTTTGGGAGAAGTCACAATACATGTATGTTTGTCTCTCTCTATGTATAATTGTATGGGTACATGGTAGGATGTTGTGGCTTTGATTGTCATTGGTTGTTTGAATTACTGTATGTAGTGCAGTGTGACAAGGTACACTCCCAAGGGAACAGGGAATAGTTGCACTTTGTGCCAGTTTTCTGATTATTGATTAGTGACGAGGGATAATAATAACATTACTATGTTTAGTAGCCGCATGCTGCTTGAAATGAATGACTTAAAAATATGTGAGGTTGTTTTGAAAACTACAGTAAAGGAAGAATGTTGATAATAATGATAAGTAAAACAAGATAATCATTCATATTGATTGAACAGAAATATACTGTACAAATGCAAGATAAAATTAGTAGTCTTATATAATTACTAAAGAGAAATTTGTGGCGACTTTCGAAATCGGACCTATTGTCAACAAATAAAACATCTTACATTAAATTGATGTTGCAATTTCACAAGCAGTGTTTGACCTTGTTTTCATATGACCTAGTTTTCACTTTTTCTCTTGAGTCTTTAAATTGAAATGGATATGAGTGCGATATAAACCTTATATTATTTAATCATTATTAGCTATGGCATTACAAAATTATCTATCTACTGTTTGGATTAGAAAAGTTAAGTCATTGCGACATGTATAACATTATGTAAGTATTGCAATTACACATCATCAGATAGATAATGTTCGCTAATTAAACAATGGCTTTAGATGTCATGTGACATGATCTACGATGATAATCAGTAACCAACCTGCCGCCAGTCAATTTACTGTATTCACTTTGCTGGAAATTCACAAGTCCCGATGTATTGTGCGACTCCATTGTTCATAGTCGACAGAGGTTTTTTTAAAGATAGATTTATGTTGCATTAATAATAAACAAGAATCAGTATTTTCATTGCTTTTTATTTTATAAATATTAATAAATTTATAAGATAAATCGTGCACACTTTGTAGTACCCATTACATGCTTTGGGAAGAGTAGGAGGTTACGCTGATGTTCCGGTCCAGCTCCTACTGTCTACTACTATAGTATGATGATAATATTATCAGACATACTTTAGCGGTTTCTCATTACTACATCGTCAACAACCTTGATTGTGCTATGATAAAAAATATATTTGGTTGATTTTTGTGCATTAATATTTATTTTTTGTCACAATTATTATGTTAATGTAAGGCTTGATAAAGAGCTTTACCGGGTCAACTGAGCATAGAATAATATTTTTCTGGTTTTTAAAAAATTTAGTTCTTAAGAATTTAATGAACCAAATCACACCTTTTTTGTATAAAATTTTTCAGAGGTTTGTGTTTAACTGGTCTGTGTTAAGTCTTTCATGTCCTCGTTTTTAAATGATGGTTTATGACCTTGTAACCTCATCATCATATGATCGTCATGTAAGAAATATAAGTATGGTGATTAGATCAAATCGACACAGATTTTTATGCATCTGATGGTGTGCAAGACATTCCATCTTGCTTTACTTACACCAATTATAGCATCATTGATTATTATCGGCAGGTTTACATAGAGGACATGTTCACTAAAGCACCATTAGTGTACTACGCTTTATCTCATAAAATTGTACAAGTTTAATACACCTCATACTCTTCAAATTGTGATATTTTTATAATTATTTTATTTTCACCTTTGTTTTTTAATGTATATTTTCTAAAAACATTACCCTAATATCACTATATTACTAACGAACTAGATAATTCTCTCTAGATCGCCCTCATATCTTGCAGTTGATTAATTAATGTAGAAAAATCACAAAATTAATAATCAATTTTTATCTGTTTACTCATTGTAATTTTTAGTATTAAGTGAGCCTCATACTAGGTATGAGGCTCATGCAGTACAATACAATACAGTACTGTATGAACCTCATACAGTACAGTAGATGTGATAGAAGAAGTGGAAAACAACTGTTAGAAGAGGTTTGGTCAGAAAAGCCATGTATTGAAACGAACGTGCAGAGGGCGAGCACGTGTACAATTACATCATAAATCAAACAATGTTTGTCAATTATCCGTGACTGACCAATGAAATTAGTTTATCCATTATCCATGACTGACCAATAATATTACTTCGAGCAATGTATATCATCCATTAATTGGCTATTGTCTGTATCAAGTTCACCATACCTGTCATTGAATATTTAATTGTCCAGTAGCCAGTTCATTAAACCTAGTTGGTGACCATTGTCCATAGCATGTCTTTCCTAGGTACTGACCACTGTCCATCGTCATCATCCCACTCACTAATAGGCCACAACTCTTTTTTATACTTTGCTTAGCGAATCTTGGTTTTGATAGAATTTTAGATGAAGACTGGAAAAAATACAACTAATATTGTTTTTTTTTATCTAGAAAAATGATTGTACTTTAGAAGCAAGTGGAAACCACAATTTATTGATGAATAAAACTTTAAATATTTAAAACAAACCCTGGCAAGTTTGACGTCATAATGTGCAGTCGATTATTAGAATTTACATTAAGACTAAGGTGGCTCTGCTAATAGAGTGAGCCTGGCCGATGTTGATAACAAATCCATCTTACTCATTGACCATTGTTCAAAGTAATATCTATAAAATTAATCATTTATGTCCGTAGCAGAGTATGTCATTCCACTCATTGACCACCTGTCCATGTCGAGTTAAACGTCCATCCTACACTACCACTGACCACATGCCATTGCCAAAATGTCATCCATCACTCTCAATCGTAAAATCTTGCTACATGTGTAGACTTTTAAGTGCATATCACGTTCTATAGTAACAAGCATTAGCATGCAAGAGCCTTTGTATGCTATCGTGCAGTAGAATTCCAATTAGTGTCGGCAAACACAGACTTCACCCTACATGTTTGATCGACACTGTAGGTGATGAATTTCGTCATGATTTTTTTTTTTGGGCTATTTTAAAATCAGTAGTGATATCAGTAGAGTAAGTCATAATAAATGTCAATGTTTAAAGTGTCTTGATCACATGGTGTGGCAGAAGCTTGTGGCGCAGCATGTAAGCATTGGGTTTTCATTTAGAAGGTCAGGGTTCGAGGCTGATGTTCATCACATTGCTTGTGTCGTTCCTAATTAAATATTAAATTAATTTAAATTTAAAAAGTGATAATGCATTATAATATTGCATCAAAGGAAGAATATATAATATATTGTCTTATAGTCATAACGAAAGTATCAAATTATATCCAAATCAAAATGTTGAGTCCTTAACACTTAAGTTCTTTCGTTATTTGTGAGAAATTTAGATACTCTTTATATGAATGGGAATTAATATTAATAATTATTCAAGTGTTATTTAGATATTTATATGATATTAATAGGAAAGTATGAATACATTAAATTACAAGTACTTCTGTAGAATCACACCACAGTTATACACGCCATTATTGTTTAGTGATGTCATATAATGATGTTAGGTACTTGTAGGCACCAACATTTTGGTCCTCAAACCCCTATGTATGTACAGTACCCCTAAATGAAAAATTAAACCTCAGAGTTACAGTACATATACTGTAGCTTGTGTGTATATGCAGTAGTAATATGAGTGATTGAATTGTAATTACTTAAAAAGTGCCTAACCTAGAGGAAGATTAAATTTGTTTACAGTATATAAAAATTTCTTTCTCCACTTTGGCGAACGATGCACTTATTTTTTCTTCGCCAAGAGGTATCTCAATTCGCCATTGGTGAATGGCTAGCGTGAGCGTAGTAAGCCATTGGTCCCGTGAGCATTTATAGTCGATGTGCACGTTAAAGAACGCAGTACACTCTTCGGGAAAAGAGTAGGGGATTATCTCCCGGTCTTTTTCTAGACTTTTTATGGACTCTCCTTGGTGTTTACACCGAATCAGTCCAACCAACCAACCAGTAATTGAAAAATAGTCATAATTCAGAATTAGGTCAATCTACGGTCAACTTGTAAATTTTGACCTATTTCCACATATAAAATATTAATAGATTGAATATACTACTGTATGCTGTTATGAACTGGTTTGATGTGATTAATTTGTTAGTTGATTTTTTTAAAGATATTCTTAGATAGGAAAGAAATATAATCAAAATATTCTGTAAATGTTTCTTATTTTGGAATTTATGCAATATGTCCATCTATGTATAATATTATACCACAAGCAAGTTTATATTCTATGTATAATATTATACCACAAGCAAGTTTATATTAAAGATATTTTTATTAATTTTTAACAAAAATTAACTTTTTTTAGAAGTATATTTTTAAAATGTAAGTATTAATATTATGAATGAATTAAATATTTCAACATTTGTATCCGACAGGTGGTTATCACTTAGTGAAGATTGGCGATTTGTTCAACGGCAAATACCATGTGGTCCGAAAATTAGGATGGGGCCATTTTTCAACGGTCTGGCTAGCATGGGATCTAAAGTAGGTTGATAATTCAGTTATTGGTCTCTTCCTTCCCCCAAACTCTTTCTCCTTCCCACACTCCATCTTTAGTGGTTGAGACCTGCCAGTGCAGTACTTGCTTGAATCCTTAAGTAAGCCTCAAGGATTTTGTTTATATTTTCCACCTTAACATATTGAAAAGCTATAGTGACATCATTAAAAATGATTTATTTAAACACGCAATACTTAAAGTGAAAGTGGCACTTTTGAGATTAGTTGAAATATTTTTTTTTATATTATTTTTTTATATTATTTTTTTATATTATCTCACCTAGTCTCCGAAGTGCTGGTTTTGCTTTACTTATTTATGCCAGAACAACTAAATGTGGATGACATATTGATATGGTATATGAATGTTATAAAGACAATATTAACATACATAATAAGGATGCACATTTGACATGGCTTCAACAGATGACATGGCTTTAATAATCCTTCCATGTCAAGGCTTATTAGTATGTTAGATATTAATTCAAATTTGTGTCCTGTCATGTTTGGCCAGCTTACAGCATAGATGAGATGCTTTTTCCAAAGAATTGAAAATGAAAATAAAAAGGCCTGGCATCCATAAATACACTACATTACATCTTCTACACTTTGGTAGCGACGTTATTATTCAACCTGTTAAAGTTGGTCCACGCTATCAAAATGTATTATGTGACATATTACTGTGATATGCCCATATTTGGGAATAATATGACATGTCCATATGTGGGCACATTACACAAATTTAATAGTGTGGACATTAGCATTTGGTAAGTTGGTTCACGAATCCTGATCTGAATTGGGTGCGAAAATTCGGAATGTGCAACTATAAATCCTAATCCAATTAAAACCTAATGGTCATTTTTTTAGTATTTCCACTCTCTTGGAACTAATTTGCCTCATCCCCCACCTACGCCCATACGTTTTTCATTCTGCTGTACCTCAAGTCTCATCTATTTATAATGAATGTTGATTCTATAATAATTTTTAATAAATTTATAGTTAAATCATGTGCTAAATTATAGAATTTATTAATTTTATTTTTCTTCTTCCACCCCTAATGTAAAATGTGAAGAGATGTCAAAATGGCAAATATTTTATTGCCTGGAAACTAATGCATGTGCACGATTAAATTAGAAAACAGATTTTGATTGACACTGTGTTTTAAGCAACTGCTGATGTTGCAAAAATGTTGAATTCCAACCAAATTGACAATTCATATTGGAAATAACAATTTATTGGTTATTGAATATATTTGCAGTTTAATTTTCTTAGCTAAATGTTGACTTCACTACAGTTACAGCATGTACAAGTGCTAGTGATTTAAAACTATATGTGTGTAAAAAAATTTGGGCACCAAGATAATTAAAGATGTATTAATAAAATTGAAATTTAATGTTAATGTTTCTTATGTGTTTAGGGATCGGCGATACGTAGCACTGAAGGTAGTCAAGAGTGCTGCTCACTACACAGAAACAGCAGTTGATGAAATTAAACTTCTCAAATGTGTAAGTAATTTATATTTTTATTTATTCAAAAATGTTGCGTTTTACAGCTGGAAACAACGAATTGATACATGCAAAAAGATAACACGGACAGTAACAATGATGTAATATGTTTTACAACAAATTTTGTGTGGTAATTTGTTCACAAAAAACAGTAAATAAACCTAATAATGGCATGCAGCATTTTCAATGTCATTGTGTTGGTTATTAATGCATTAAAGGTGTTAGTATTCACATTATTAAATTAATAGCTGCAATATTAATTAAACTATTAATTACTTTATATTATGCTAATTTAGCTATACATATTTTGCATATTATTGCTCTAGTTTTTAATAACTCCTTTGTCTAGTAATGCAATAGTTTGTGTGTTAATTATTGATTTTGCAATTTATGAATATTCATAGGGTAGTAGAGATTTTGTCATGGCGCAGTTATGTTTAAATCCTGAAAGCCATTATGGAATTTGGAGGTTTAACTCACAGAACATTAATATGAAATGCATACTTATTAAATGCACAACTAAAATCACTTGTCATTAATTGTTTAACTGCATGGGGATTTTATATTTTTTTTAAAAAATATAATAATATATCACAATAAAACTTCAAATAAATATTTTTACATCATAATTGAAAAACTCTGTATCATTTCTTTAATTTTAAACTTAAAAATACACATGTATAAAATTATTTTAGAATAGTTACAGTTAACATTAAAAATGTAGAATTTGAATTTGTTAATACATATTTCTATAATAGTTACTATGTACTCTACTTTTCAATAAATAACTATTGGGAGTACTCCTACAGTTAGTACTGTAGGAGTTGTGAGGCGTAGGTTATAGCATTTTCAAGGCTACAGTATCGCGTGAATGGTTCATTAGGACCCACGTTGGATCGGATAACGTGTTAAGGAAAATTGTTAAAGTAAACATAAATAACACATTTGCCCAATTAGGGTTGAATCCAACGGTGGGTGTGTGTATATATCTTCAGTGCCATGAATTTAATTTACACGGTAAACTTAACATTGCTATTAATACTGGGCCATGATTGGTCATTTCATTGAGTTGTCTACAGTCCACCATACTGTTTAGATTTGTCTGTTTACACTGAGCGTGCTCTGTGGAAAGACCCAGAACACTATGCACTTTATGCTTCAGTTCTTCCATGCACGCAATAGCAACACTTGTTCTATCAAAAACTTTCAAAAAAATGTAAATTATATAGTTTACTTATTACCTTACAGTACAAGGTTTGTCTAGGTGGTCTAATTTGATAGTAATCAAATGAATTGTTCCTTTCTACCAGGACATCATAGAAATGATGTGCAGTTTAACATTGTATTTTGGAATTGGCCATTATACCAGATTTTATGTGTCAATGAAAGTGATAAAGTAATATTGTTATGATTAAAAGAGAGATTCTAAAAGTAAATATGCAAATTTTAAGCTAAAAATAGATTCTAATGTTCAATGTACTACTGTATTGTATGACATTTACATTTTTGCGATATATTTGTTTGTTGTCATGGAATATTAAAGGTGATTTAAAATTTTTAGTGATAATTGTTTACAATAATAAACAAATCTACAAAATGTCAAATCCCTTTCCTTTACCGGAAACTATCCTCTCGTATTGTTGTCCCAATATCCCAGTTATACTCTTGGGCAAATATAGATAAATTTACGATTAGTATCAATCTCGGACTAATAACCATTAGGTAACAATCCTAAATATGTACTGCTCCTCCACACTTTCAAGAACATGGTTGTCCTATAACAATCATATTGCTTACTCATCTAGACAAAAATTAAATGTTAAAACCTGATTTTAAAACCAATATATTTCCTAGTTTTTGTTCTAAGAACATTAGTCGTAATTACCGATATATTCTGTAGTTTCTAAATTATGTATTCATAATGCCATACATATAGACATCTAAGAGGCTAAGGGGATCATTGTATTACTGTAAGCCTAGAATAAATGAAAGCAAAAGATATACTTACATTAACTTTCCAACATAATGAATAAATTTACGTTGGATATTTCTTTATAGACATATTAAAGATGACTAAGATATTTGAAACCATTTTATTGAGTTTTCTTTGAATAAATGCAAGCTTGGGGAAGTTTCTGTTTGTCATTTATTTGATTCACTGTATTACTCAAGAGAAAATAAACAGTCATAAAATGCCATGATAATCTGGAAAACCAGGAGGTATCCCAACAAATAGTAAGCTTTACTATTAGCAGTGTTGTTTATACAATTTGTATGAACATAATAATAAATGATATAAAATCATTACAATTTCTAATAATCGATATGTCGATAAATGGCAGCTACAGTATGGTAGTCTAGAGCTTTCTCTCAACTATTTCATAGGGAAGATACTGTAGGTTTAATCTATCTGTATCACTGTTCATTGTTGTCAAGTTTCTTATCTTAGTATTATTCAATATGCAAACATTAATGGAAAGCTATGAATATAATCAGAAATCACTCATCATATTTAAATGTGAATGTGGAAAAGTAGCAATTATAAACCCCTGTCTAGAATATCAAATTTGATTTCATAAAAACTGACATGCCTAAATATGGTCATGATAAGACCACATGGGCATATATAGCCACATCATGACTATATTTGGGTATACAAGAGTTCTGTTTTTTAAATAAAATAAAAATAGACTGGATACTGAAGGACTTCAAAGAAATTTTTCTTCCAGATCTAGAAAGATACCTTTTCAGATTTAACATCATCCTCATTATTTTTCTCACTAGTATTCTGTGTGTTGCATCTTTTTCCCCCATTTAGTTACATACATCATGCGCTAACCATTACTGTCATTACAAACTATTGGTTAAATCGATTAAGGAAGTAGTGAATGTTTGTAAGAATGTTGTATTCGTACATAAAGTATAAGTGTTATTGATGCCTAGCAATTAGTATGATTTATGTTTTTATTTCATGTGTTTACGCTTTGTCGAGTCTCATGCTGAACTGATTTAGTTTCCAGGTGAAATATTATAATGTTTCAGCCTATGTATTAATTCATCTTTGCTTGTAGAAAATGTAAACTCCTGATTACTGTAACCTATGATTGGCTGTACTTGATCTATATTGCTGTTGTGAATAAGCTAATAAAAAGGTGCCTCACAAATAGTTAATATAGAAGAATATGCTATTTATTGATTGATTAATATGTTGATTGATTTATTGATAATGTTATAATTGATTTATTGATAATGTTATAATTGATTAATATATTAATTAAATGATTAATGCATTGATTGATTTTTAAATAATATTATTTATTCAATCAAAATATATCAGATATTATTGAACTATAATATGAAATTATTTTATTTTTCGTCCTTATATATACCTTAAATTTTAGTATTTTCCAAGGAAAAAGTAATTGAATATTTTTAATTTTTTTTTATTAGTGACTCAAAAATTGATATGGATCTTTTAAATAAATTAATTCAATTATTCTTTAAGTTTCTGCTTAAATTTTGTAGCTATGGCAATAACAGTGTTTTTTTAAACCAAGCAACATTTTTGTAACTAAAGGTGTGAAATTGATAACCCTCAAGGTGCTATTATAACACCTTTCTGTCAGCATTAGCAACACAGTATGATAACACAAATAACTTCATTCTACAAAATTTTATACTGTAAATTTGTTTGCCGTAGGCGTAGCTCAGGGAGCTTATAAAAGAACAAACTCATAAACTATTTAGACACAATAAAAATTATCGCCATGTCAAATCGATTACTGTAGCATACTGAAACCATAAGTAGGTCATATTTCAGTGGTTGAAAAAGATTATTGTCAAAAATTATAATGAAGAATTGGTATATGCCTTTCACATGGATAGAGTGGAAAAAGTGACAGGTATGATGAGAGGATGCATCTGGATGATCTGAAGAATGGTAGCCATGGAAACATGCAAACTGTGATATGAAAGGCAGTAGTAATTTAAAAATTGTATGTGATGCTAAATACGAGGAAATTTAGATAATTAAGACCCTGCCCCTGGTGAACAGTGGCTACCATTTTCAGTGTACTGGGAGGCCACCTGCTAGTTTTCTACTGTACAGAGGCATAGGCTGGTTTCATTCTTGGGGAAGGGGTGCGGTGCAAAAATTAAAAATGCGGAACTGGGGTGTGCAAAATTGATAATTCACAAACTAAATCCCTATTTCAATAAAAACTTAATGTCATTTTTAGTATTCGTCTGACCACCCTCCCCCAGTCTACGCCCATGTTTAACATCCCATACAAAACATTGCGCACATATATTTGATGTTTTTAAAAACCATACTTTAACAATCATGGGTGGGTACCTACAATAGGATTTCAAATGCTTCACTGAAATTTCCTAGCTACATGCGTTGTGTAGTTGTGTATTTCATTGTCGGTTAAGGTGGCAACCAATTCAGGATATGTTCTGATCCTTCCTATAATGCCTGGATTTTCTTAAAGCAAATGAAGATGAATCCCCTGCTACACCTCAACAGGTTTTTCAAAAAACCCATGAGGCAACCACTGTCAGATATAAAATAGAAGGAACGTTCAATTTGAGAATTGTTTAACTGAGCTATACTTTGTATCTAAATATAGATACATAATGGCATACCATCATTTTATATTAAGTTTCCACTTAAGCTTATATGTTTATTATTATCCAACCTGCAGCTTTCCATAAACATTTATTGTTGACAGGAATTGATGAAGATAATGATGATGTGGAAAGTGAAGGATTTTCATATTGTACCCATAACAGATTAAAAGTTGTATTAAAATTTAATTGATAAGGAGAGTATTTTCTTGTTCTAATCTTTTAAATTAATCTTTTATTATTATTATTATTATTATTATTATTATTATTATTATTATTATTATTATTATTATTATTATTATTATTATTAATAATAATAATATAATAATAAATAATTATTATTTAATAATAATTATTATTTATCAATAATAATAATAATAAATATTATTATTATATTGTATTTATTAAATATTTATTTAATAATTATGTAATATTTAATTGAAAGATATCTTGCATAAAGTAAGGAATATAAATATAGGATATTAACTGTCCATGTTTATCAATTGAACATGTACCAGCAACGAAAATGTAGACTGGCGGTCAAGTATATTTAGCTATGTACAGGAGGGCTGCCCAATTCTATCTGAATATGTAGGGCACACGTCCCAAGTGTACATTTATTTCAGGCATCTCCCAGGTATCTATGCCGCTAATGCATATCACCTATAGAGTTTGAATACAAACTTGTTATGCTTGGAGGTTGATGTGAAATGTTTTAATTTTAGAGGCTTATAGAGACCATCCATATGCACATATCCTCTCGTGACCCAGTGGTATTAACAGGTGTGTGATAGGAAATGCATTTTGTAAAGCTGATTCAACATTGTTGATTTTACAAGTAATTCCAGTCTTTACACAGTTGGATGAGGAATTTCCTACCAATTTCATTGCATCTAGCTAAAGTATTACATGTATTTTTTTTGTAACAGTATCAGATTTTTTAATGTTTGTCATCATCACCATATCGTCATCGTTGTTGTCTTCATTGTTGTTTTCATCATTGCTATCATTAATATCCTCATCACCATTATCATTGGGTTCATTATCATTATCATCGTCATTATCTCCACTACTTTTATGTCCATTAATCGTTATCATTATCATCGTCATCATCATCATTTATATTTGTCATCAATATTATCTTCATCATCACCATTATCATCATCGTCTTTATCATCATAATCATCACCATCAATCATTTGATTGCTTCAACCTCATCCTCATTATCACCATGTCATGTTCTTCCTTATCATTATTCATCATTTTCATCTTTTCAGCATCAATCATCTCTCATCATAAACATAAACCCTAGTGAAACATAATGAAAGATGAATGTAAACATCTAAAAAGGAACAAGAAAAAATTAAAGATGCCATTTTCAATTTCAATTTCATAATTGAAATATTAAAATTATAATAAACAGATCTCTTAACTAAATCCAAACCTGAATTATCGACTCGCCGTACATGTCAATAATACCACCATGGTCACAGAACAGTTTAACATAGTTATTTTTGTAAAACCTATCTTCTTGGACTGTAATAACTACGTGCCATTATCAGACACGTGATTAAATCTCTGTTGATACATGGCAAGACTATAACGTTCATTATGCTGCGTTAGAGACAAGCTGGTTTTCCTAATTGCAGAACGTTTGTATAAAAAATCCTGATTGTACCGTTAGGCTAGATACGCTTGAAATAAACGACGATAGATTTTTTTTATAACAATAACCTTGTGTTTTATAGGAAGTGCCTGTTAAGATGGTATTTTTAGCAATCAAAAAATCGGTCATAATTTGTTATCAAAATAAAAACAATATTTTACATTTTAAGAGTCAAAGCTTACTGCATAAGTATATAATGATGACTTATGTCTGCATAAAGATGTACAATCTATGAAGAATTAAGTAATTACTGTATGGAGCAAGGTATTTGTAACATGTTAGACAGCGACACTCTTTTAATTTTTGAAATTTGCCTGTTCGTCTGCATCTCATTGAGATGTGTACACGAGGATGTTCTTATTCTTGTCAAAAGAACTGTTTCTCTTAAACTCAGTCAACACTATCACATTTTATGTGACATACTTTTTGGCATGATGATGTCATATGTGACCCAAGCTCACAAACAGACTGTAAACTCGTCCTCAAGCCAAAATGAGTTTTTGTTATAATGGTATAAAACATATCATTTACTTTAAAATGACAGTTAAATGAACTCATCTGGAAGCAAAGTTATGACCGTTTGAATAATTGTCATCTTCTCAACTTTCTTAAACCAAGTTTTTAGAAAAATGCTTTTATTTTTGGCAATTTCCTATTCATTTTCACTAACTCCCATTTGAAAATGGCTAAATTTTGCCTTTTACAGTTTGAATTTTAAACTCAAACTTCAGGAATAGGAAGATTAATAACTATACTTTACTTATTACACAAAAACCCAATTTACACGAAATTCATGTTTTATGGCATGTTCTGGCTATTGAGGCTTGTTTCTCAATACAGTGCTGTGCGAGTTTACAGCCTGTTTGTGAGGTCACATATTACATTATTATGATTATTTGTCATTAAAATTTTATAGTGTGGACAAAATTTTAATCTTGACTGATGAAACTAGCTTAGAAATCTTAGGCTACGTTTCCTGAATCCACCTTTGAAAATGACCTGTTTAATTATCCTAGGTCATGCATTGAAAATAACGTTTAATTTTTAAGCAGTCAATTTTGGTGAAACATACTGTACATTTGCAGTCATTTTGATATTATGTAATATGTAATTATTTTACTATTATTATTAAAATAATAAGAAACATTATTTAATATATTTTTGGAAATTGTATTTTATTTTCTCAGGTCCGAGAAGCTGATGATACCGATGAAAACAGACTGAAAGTAGTTCAACTTCTTGATGACTTCAAAGTTTCTGGTGTGAACGGAACTCGTATCCTTTGCTTTCAAATTGAACAATAGCAAGCTCTTGTCTCGAAAAGTCGCTATAGACTTTCTATTGAGTGTAATCCTACATTGTCATGTAGCATTCATCATATTATAATTTTGGAAACTGCAACATCCTGATTTTTTAAATCTTGCTATTGGCAATTGCACAACATTTAGCTGCTTAACATGGTGGTGACCTCCTGAATGTACTATGTGCATGGTTGTCAACGAGATATCGATTTACCTGTTATCTAATGCCATCCACGTGTCTGTCTATCACCGCATGATATCTAATCTGGCCAAAAGTAGCCTAATCCATATAATCCTATCTAATCCATGTGAATTACTATCCCTGTTTGGCTCTAATACCATTAATAGTCCGGCACTGCCCAGGTATGTACATTTATCTATGTGTCTCTTTTACACTCCCCTTTTTTCAGGATTATCTATTACCCGTTACTTATATCAATATAATTAATAAGCTAACCATGCTTTAGCCATGTAAAATTAACTTTCAATCTGTCCTGCTATGCAAATTACCATCATCTTTAATCTTTCATTATATCAAGTCTAAAATTCCTTTATAATACACATATTTATATATAGATGACTATGGTCTAGCACAACATGTTTTCATTCCTTCATTGTGCTACTCCATTCATTTATTACTTTTTTTTTTTTTTTTGCTTATAAATTACCTTGTTATTTTTTTACATTTATCTGTACTGTTAATAGTCTAGAGTCGCATAGCTATTGTACATTCTTTTATGCATTTTCCTTTTCTTTTCACTCCCCATAATTTACGGAATATCTCTTATTCTATTTATTTATATTATTATTTATTATACGTTTATCAATTAACCTTTCTATTTCTGATGTAAATCAATACTATTAAGTGCATAGTTATGCAATTTGTTTGTTTTTTTTTAGATTTCTAAAAATAAGCCGTATGCATTTTCCTTTTCTTTTCACTCCCTATAATTTGCGGAATATCTCTTATTCTATTTATTTCTCACATTCATCAATATTGTTAATGTTTCTCCATTCCTTTCACTTACCATTATCAATTTATTATAAGTTTATCAATTAACCTTTCTATTTCCTATGCAAGTAAATACTATTAACTCCATAGTTAATATGCAATTCTTGTTTTTTCTTTCGATTCCTAAAAATAAGCTACTCTCCTTAGATTTTAGGTTATATATTGTCTTCTTTATTTTTTGACATTTATCAGTGCTGAAAACGGCTTTTCACTCTATAATTTACGGAATATTACTTATTCTGTTTTATATAATCAATATTGTTAATGTTTCTTCATTCGTTTCTCACACCATTATCCATTTATAAGTTTATCAGTTAACTTTCCTGTATCTGATGTAAGTCAATACAAATAAATGCATACTGTAGCTATGCACTTCTATGCACTTCTTTCTTTTTTCTTTAGATTTCTAGTAAAAATATGCTATTCTCCTTAGTTTTTTTTAGGTTATATATTATCTTCTTTATTTTTTGAATTTATCAGTGCTAAAGACATCATTTCACTCCTTACAATATTACAGAATATTTCTTATCCTGTTTATAATCAATATTGTTAATGTTTCTTCAATCCTTTCTCATACTATTTTCCATTTATTTTATATGTGTATAAATTAACCTTTCTATTTCTGATTAATTGTATGTCAATATTATTAACTGCTTAGTTATGCAATTCTTTTTTTTTCCTTTTAGATTCCTAAACCTACTCTTCTTAGTTTTTTTTTTATGTTATGTTGGCATTTATTAGTGCTATTGATAGAAGTATGCATTCTTTGTTCTTCATACCATTTCCTTACCTTCTCATTGCCTATATTTCTGTTCCTTTTTATTTCTCACATTATAAATGTTATTGAGGTTTTCTTCATTTATTTCTCATTATCATCCAAATAATAATTAACCTCTCTATTTCTGATATTACTGTGCATTTTTTATTCAACTTTATTGCACTAGAACAACCACTGATGAAAATCTTTTCTTTATCCTTCCCTATGTATTGAGTTTTGCCATATATACATTGCCATGTGCTTGCTTCTATATTGCTAATATAATTATGAGGTATTTTATTGTTTGTATAATCCAATCATGCTTACTCTAGAATTGTGTCAAGGATTTTCAAATTAGCGTACTCCAAATATGGTCATCAGATCACAATGCATGCAAATGATAAATTGAAAACTCTATTTGCTCAATGTCTTCTAGTGTTGTTGTTAACATATTTGTTTACATGGTTACGAACCATAAGAATAGAGTTATTGAATACAAGATTCTCATTACATTTAGTAATGCTAATAATATAACGATAATGAATATTTATAGAAAACTTGAACCAAAATACTAAATTTTATTAACAATAGAACATACCAAGCAATGGAATATTTGATTCAAAATTCTTATACTTAATAATGGTGATTATAAAGAGTTATTTAATACAGGCAAAATTACAGCACCTACTGTACATAATACAAATATACATGGTGCTAATAATAATCCACATATTTGTTCTTCACACTTGTGTGATTTTCATACAAATTCTCGAATATAACCTGTTTAAAAACATGGGATACAAATGTATCCAATCCACTTATTTCATCCTCAATGCATGTACACACGAACCTGACACACCAAAAATACACCTAATAAATCTAAATTTAGTTTACATACCCATGTATCATTTTTTTTAAATTCTAAAATAATAATCTTTTAATGTCATCAAATATAATATTAAACACAAATGTTTCAATTCTTGCTTCTCTCACAAACACACACCACACACACGCAACACTTCAAAACCAAATACGACAGTGAATCCACATATATATCTTGCAGACTCATTATGTATGAATGGTTACATGTTCACGTCTGCAATTATTACAACATATTTTATTGTCTTGCAACTTTACCCATGTTGATCAAGTAAACATTTAGTCTAGGAAATCATAACACAATCTTGTGTTACAGTCTTTACAATTTTCCTTCTGTTGACGGTAATTGTTATTTAGAATTTGAGGTGATCCACAAAATTAATTAAGGACTCGTTTTGATGATCCAGAGATGACGTTTAGGACTGAAGATGAGTGTTAAAAGGCATGTTTGCATAAGTAGTGTTTAGCAAGCAGTGGATGTGTGCTATACTTAGTAGTACAGTAGTTGTAATATTTAAGTCAATGTATATATTATGATAGATATGTTAATATACCATGTCTATTTCTCTTTCCTATGTTAGTTTGTCTCATATAAATTCTTGTGGTTTTTGTATGTGTGTGGGAAAAATTTATTATGCATGTGTGGGCATATTGAAGGCGTGAATTCTTTTAAATTTATGTTTACGTGACCATAGGGATTTTGTTAGAAGAATCTGCTAAATTCTGGCCAAAAATGGCAGTGCTTGCTAATTCTAGTGAGTTATTTCATTGGTACAATTAACTTGGGAATAATTATATTTGTTTTTATCACAATCATAATCATCATCAAAATCATCGGCATAAACAAAATCGTCATAATCATCATGCTTAACATTATCCATTCAACTATCAATTGATTCATAGATTATTTCATCAAAGAATTAATCACTTTAGTATTTAATATCACCATCAAACATTTAGTCATCATCTTCCTCGTCATCATCGCCATCATTTCTCTATTCATTCTCATTAGCATCGACTATTGTAAAAAAAATACATTCATTTTCTTCATCTTCATATTTTTTTCCCCACATCTTCAAAATAACCTATGGCATCATCAGTGTCAACCAAGAAAATCCAGATTTACAACATTACTGTCTAGCAACATTAACATTTGCAACCTGCCAGCCAGTTGCGCTTTATTATCTAAATACATTGTGAATACTGTATATCCAGCTTTGAAGATGATCCTTAATAGATATTCAGATGTATGTATGGTATTTGAAGTGCTTGGAAACAACCTGTTGAAACCTATTATACAATCCAAGTACATGGGCATGTCTCTACACATTGTCAAGAGTATAATACGACAGGTACTTTCATTATCATACAATATTTATTTTATTTATTGTATGTTAAGAAAACTTTCATATCTCCTTTTGGGAAGCTAGACTATTTTTTAATACGATACTTTTATATTGTATTTATTTATATAATATTTATATTATATATCGAAAATTGTATATCTTCTTTTTGGACAAGTTAATAAGATAGTATGAAATTAGGCATTCTACAAACAGAATGGTATTGTTGGTTCCTTGCCCTCTGGTTCGTTTGTAGCATATTTACTCAGTTTAAAAAAAAAAAATAATAATAATAATAATAATTAATTGGTTTATTGTCTTAAGTATCTTTAGCATTTCTGTAAAATGGATATGAGCACCATACAAATATTATTTTTTATTATTAAATCTAAATGACAGATTTTAAATGACTGAACTACATAACACTTTGATTAAAATTTCCATTTTTCATTAATCTGTAATACACCTTTGACCTTTATTTGTTGGATTTATTGTCAATAAATTAATAGCATAATTAACAAAGGTAATCCATTCTAGAAAAGCTGATTCTTAAAACAATGGAATTTTAATGTAGGTGTTTACTCTAGGATTGATAGGGGTAAAAAAGTAAAATAAAAGGGCAGGGGGGCATAAATAAACACTTTTGTCAGGGCTAGGCCTAGGCCTACGACAGAAGGAAACAACACCAGCCAAGGAGAACTTTGGTATAATAAACACCCCTTAATTCTTGTTAAAATACATGTCAACATTTTCCTGCAATGATCTGTGATTTAAATGGCGACTTCCTTATTCACCAACTATAGGTCTAATTTATAATATTTCTATGTTTTTATTTATTATTTTAAATTTTTTTTTAGGTTTTAGAGGGTCTAGACTATTTGCATACCAAATGCAAGATAATACACACTGACATAAAACCAGAGAATATTCTGGTGTGTGTAGATGAGTTTTACATAAGGAATCTGGCACAGGAGGCCAAGGAGTGGATGCAAGGCAGTACAAAGCCACCAATCTCATCTGGTAAGTCCTCTTCCTCTTAAAAACAGCATCAATCACCTGCACTTTTATTATTTATTTACTTATTTATGTCTTGCTAATTTATTTTTTACTTACTCTATGTATGTATTTATTCCTTTATTTTAGTAATTTATTATTTTTCTAATTTTATTTTTTAGGTATACGTATATTCATTGTGTATGTTTATTCATTTTTTCTTTAATTTTTTTTTTAAGGTTGGACAAGAAATTTTTTTTTCTTGTTTTGACCTTTATTATAGTCTTTTATTAATATTCTTTTATATTGTTAATTTTTATAACATTACTGTAAGTGAAATAAACTGTGCATTGTGTGCAATAGAATCTGTTTATTTTTTATTGATCATTAAGTATAAGTGTAACTTATCAATATTTCTATTAATTTTGTGCCATCTAAAGGTACTTTGTACAGGGAACTGAAAGCTGAAAAAAGTGGTGTAATACAAACATGGATCCAGAGTCTTCATGGCTTAGTGCACACATCATGGCTGAAGCAAACTATTAAATTTTATGTGACATACCTAAATATGGTCATGATGACATCACATCATGACCATATATAGGTACATCATGACACTATATGGCCATACAGCAGTTTTTTGTCAAAGAAAATGTGATAGCACGGAAGAAAATGTGATAGCACGGAGAGAGCTTAAAACTATGTAGCTTGATGGTTAATAAAATATTATTATTATTATTATTATTTTATATTTACAGTGAGTACTGCTCCTGTTGAAAAAAAACCAGCCGAAAAAATGTCAAAGAATAAAAAGAAAAAACTAAAAAAGAAACAAAAACGACAGCTGGAATTATTACAACAACAGGAAAAGCAACTTTTAGATCTGGATGTGGAGAAGAAAAGAGGTGAGTTGAAAGAACACAAATGATTGGAAAAAATAGAAATGAAAAATTAAAGAAAGCAACTGATTTATAAAATAGGAAAAAAATAAAAAATAATAAAAATGACAGCTGGATCTATTACAGCAACAGGAAAAGAAACTTTTAGATCTAGATGTGGAGAAGAAAAGAGGTGAGTTGAAAGAACACAAATGATTGGAAAAAAATGGAAATAAAAAAAAAAAAAAAGAAAGCAATTGATTTAGAAAATAGGAAAAAAATTTAAAATAATAAAAAAAAAAAGCTGGATCTATTACAACAACAGGAAAAGCAACCTAGACCTAGATGTGGAGAATAAAAAGAGGTGAGTTGATAAAAAAAAAAAAAGAAAGCAATTGATTTAGAAAATAGAAAAAATACAACTACAAAATTACACATTCTTTTGTGCATTGAACAATTATAAATTATCAGATTAAGTATTAAGTTTAGACTTTAAATTTAACATTATATACCAGGTTAAATTTTTTTAAAGAAAATATATAATAATTTATGATAATTTGTGTGATGAATTTGATAATGGAGTGGCGTTGAAGAGCCTAGTGGCTAAGATGCTTGCCTTTCACTCCCAGGGTCCTGAGTTCAATTTCTGTCACGGTAACAGGATTTTTTCTCGCGACAAAAACAACCCCACTTCCTAAGCCTCTTATTGAGATTTTGTTTGGTAAAGCATCATGTGTACATGTTTCATGTGAAAGGGATTGTCACATACAAGTAGGACTGATATATTCGCTGTTGACAATCTTTGGTGTGTGTGTGTTTTGTGCCTAAATAAATAAATCAAATAATACAATAATATACTAGAGTTTAATACCATCTATTATTGTGCTTTCTCTTTGTCCAGCCGATAGCTTAAGTCTACATGAGAGTATATCAGTAAGTTCTCTGGTGTTGTCTGAGAGTGCCTCGCTTGATCAGGACAGTATATCTCAAGGCCCATCAAGCTATAGCCTTTCGAGTTTGTCGCTTGAGCCTGGCAGCCTCCAAGTCTCGCAGAGCATTTCACAGGAGCTTGTCAGTGTACCCGAGAATTGTGTTGAAGAAAAATGTGAACCGCAGCAATGTCCTGATTCCAAATTGAACACAGGAATTGAAGAACGAAAAGAGGATAGGAACGAGAGGGAAATTAATCAAGAAAATGTGACACATAGGCCAAAACAAAATTCAGATCAACTAATTAATATTGGTGAGTTTTATTTAATATATTTATTGAGCGAGCAGCTTAGTGTGTTACAATATTCATACACTCATCACGGCCTACCAATATAATGTGTATATCATTATCAAATAGCTTGATGTATGTGTATCTAACAATTATATTTAGTGATATAAAACAAACACAACCAGGCTTTTTATAAATAGGATGCAAGCCTTTAGTTTAACGGCATATGTTTTGAGACCGTCAGTTCTCATCATGGAGCTTGCCATGCCAAATCCAGCATCACTGACCAAAACAGGAAAATTTTCTTCTTAATATTGTTATTTTCCACAATGCAGGTCATTTACTGGAATCGACTTACTATTGCCAAAGTTCTGAGTTAAAGTATTACAGCTTCTGTGTAGTAAAGTATACAATACTGCCGCATTCTTGAAATCAAATCAAATCAAATCCTTCCAACTTATATTGCGCCATTCCAACAATCGTTGTTCGTGGCGCAGTGGACAAGATGTTGCTCTTTTCAATAACGTCCTCCTCCCCGGAGGGTCACTTCATGTCCTCTGCAGCCGGTAAACCGGCGCACCGGTGCAGTCAAATGCAATTTACTCAGTTTTATATTTTGAAACTGTTTTGGAATGGCAAGCCTTATATAGCAGTTGAATTGCACGTGAATATGCAAATTAATGACATATTTGTAATTACCAGGGTAGTTTCTTTGCATATTTATGACTTGTTCATGAAGTATCATGAGGTTACAAAGTCTACATACAGAAAGTAATATATATTTACTGATATATTTATTACTGTATATACTGATTTCTTACTGATATTTTGCAGATGATGAGAATAATCCAACATTGAATAAAAAGAACTTGAATGAAACATCAATTATCAAGCCAACCACTAATGGAAGTGAGACGAAAACTCCTTTATGTAATGGACACACAAACAACATGCAAGAAAATAGTTCCAGCAGCAATGGTCTTGATGATCACAATCAAGGTATAAAATGGGAGGTGGTTGTCAATACGACCCTTTGGTGCCAGAGAACTTGCACTGGCTGTGTCCCCACTCCTCTTCATAGTGCTGTTGGTTCTTGTGGCTGCTGTGATATGTAGCTACCAAGACTTGCCTTTTTGTTTCAATTCTTATTTATTATGAGTATGGGTGAAAATAAGGTACCATTCGATGGAACATACTGACTTCAAATTTTTTAGCAAATAGTCTTGTCATTTCTTGTACAAGGTATTCTTCTTGCTTGTCCACTCATTGTCTGGACTAAACATGTGATCATGTTTCATCCAATTTATGTTTTGTTTCTTATGAACATAATTTATGTTTGTTGTTCTCCTCCAGAAACGGAAAAATGGGTGGAGAAGACCGTAGAACATATAGAAGAACAGAAGAAAGGCACCGGAAATATTAAAATAGACAACATAGATACCACGCTAATCAATACCAAGGATGAGTCACCAGATTCAACCAGTCAGGTCGCTTCTCCCAAGGATATCACCATGACAACCACAGACTTGGAGGCTGAAGGTAATGAAGATGTTACTACTTCTAGAGACCTAGGTGATATTAACGTGGATAGTACAGACCAGAGGCTTGAGGATGTTGTGGAAGTTGACTATAGGGCTTTGGATTATGACCCCAATCGAGGTTAGATGATGTCTAAGCAATTGCAGGTTGAATCTTGACCTCTCTTGTCATGTTAGCTATGCTGTGGCTACTGTATTGCAGATTCTACTAACACAAAATGTCTGATATTTCTTTTATTCCCCACTCCCCTTGTGATTATGGCTGAGTAAGCATCAGATGCACTTTCGTAGCTTTTTTTTGGTAAAGTTGCACACTTTCTACTCTCTATTCACAGCTCGTTTTCGGTATTATATTTCTGTATGGAACTAAAAACATTGATAATTGGGGTGAAAATATGCTTTAAAATGCACATCATTTCGATAAGGGTAAAATAATAATTAGGTAATAGACCAATGAACAGGAGGGATGGAAACAAAAATGATTCTGCCTGGCTATGGTTATTCAGTTTTTTTTTTCTTTTATAAAGCTCTATACTTATGTCAAAACTCAAGTCTAAATTATAATAATCATAATTAATGATTTTATTATTATAATTATTAATATTGCTATTTTTAATTCTGTAGCACCTAGTGTGTGTCTGGAGGTATCAAAATTAGATTGGGGTTGGTAAAAGAAATCTAGATGACAGTAGTAGTAATAATTTATATTGTATGAAAGTTTAGTAGTAATAATAACAACTACAATAATGATAAGAAACTTGCTTAAAATATAAGCACTGTAGCTCTGTAAAAATGTTGTGTATATACACTTTTCACAGTATAGTACTGTCTAAAATTTGATATGGAGTGAAAAATATGCCAAAAGTATTTGCACATCATTTTGGTATTAGAAATAACACCTGTATAATTGTCTTTTTATCAAATGCTGTTGCTATAATTTTTGTTACAACATTTTAATTAGATACTAGATCAATTTTATGAGCAGGTGTGGAAGGGAGAAAAAAAGCTGAAAGGGTTGTGTTTTGTGAAGGTTATAAGATGGTGGATGATTAATTTCAGAAGATATCAGTGTTCACTGAGATTGTGGCCTTAGTGGGATGGTATAACTGTTCATTAGCAATCTATTACCATTAGATAACCAGCTGCCTGCAACCATGTTATAGTTTGGTGTGGATAATATATAGGATATGTTAATTATATTATAATATGCACTAAAGCCCTGTCCAGACTATCACATTTTATTGGACAAAAACATGTGACATGCCTAAATATGGTCATGATGACATCACATCATGACCATATATAGGCACATCATGACTATATATGAGCATATAACAGTTTTTTTTTTCAAAGAAAATTTGATATGCTGTTATACCTGAAAGCTTTGTCAATACTATCAGGTTAATGTGACAAATACCTGCAATTGTTCCATATATGAATGTGATCTGAAATAAACATATTCTGATATATCTGTAAATCATGGATATTTGTCACACAAAAATTAGATCGAATGGACAGAGCAGAGTACTTGACATTGGTTCCTAGGCTTAGTATGTCATTAAAGCTCTAACCACACTTCTACGTGTATGTGACAAATGTGTGTTGATTTTCCCATAAATGGGCATGAAGGTATTATATTATATCTGTATATGGCCATGATGATATCAGGTTGCATATTTTATATATTGACAAATCACAGGTATTCGACACAAAACTTGAAAGTGTAGCCATAGCTTTTCACTGCTATTAAACAGGATACATTGCAACAATGTTTGGTTTGATGTGGATAGAATATAGGTTATATAAATTATAAAGTTCTGTCCATTCTATCAAATCGTATGTGATAAATAAATGTGATATGCCCATATTTGGGTTTAATATGACATCATCTTGGGCACATCACACAATTTTGTCACCTAAAATTGGGTAGCGTGGAGAGCACTTTATATGTGCCGCCCAATACCACCAACTTCCTGTAGTGACCATGCTTCTGTTTGATGTGGTTATGGTATTTTGGTTGATATGAATTAAAATATTAATAAATTAATTTTACAATATTAAATACCCCATTATGCCTTCTGTTCAGAGTGGATAGAATATAGTTTATATTACTTATATCAATTAAATGTATATTAAATAAATGTTTCTTATTGCTGAAATGTTTTTATGACCAGTTGGTAGTATTAGCATGCTAACAGTCCAAATTTGGCAGTTAATTTATAAAAATTTATTTCTACTTGCATTACAAAAATATGTACTCTATTTTATCAGTTTTATTTAATTTTTACTCTATATCTTTATTTAAATGTGTGTATATACAATATGAAATTTATTTATATACATTCACGTTTACAAGTGCTTGCAGTTTTTTTCTTCAGATATGCATCTATTGTGTGCTTACAAATTATGTAATTTTATGGTGTTTTGCAAATTCTCTCAGAAAATGGTTTTTATCTTTTTTGATGCAAATTTGTTATATCTAAATTACCTATGTGGAAGCAAGATGATGTTGTTCATGTTGCTTAATGTCTTTGTCTGTTTTATGACAGGTATTGAGGACCAAAAGCCTATTCATGATCAGTTGAAGGTTAAAATTGCTGACTTGGGCAATGCTTGTTGGACGGTGAGTACAATTACCCAGTGACTAAAAAAAAAAAAAAAACTTCCCCAACAAAACTTTTGATATGTGGCTTATATAAGTTGTATAATTTATATAATGTATTTATAATTTTTTATTTTTTTGTTTATAGAATCATCATTTTACTGAAGACATTCAAACAAGGCAATACCGTGCTCTAGAGGTTTTACTTGGGGCCGGGTATGATACGGCTGCTGACATCTGGAGTACAGCTTGTATGGTTAGTTACTAAGATAGCACTGTAGATACAATTATTACACTATCAATCAAACCTCAATTTAGATAATACTTGCGTGTATATATATTTCGGTATCTTTGTTCAGAAATACAAAATATACACGACAACGATATCAAATCCATAGCAGACAGTGCCTGAATTCTTGATTCAATTTACAATATGTCGTACTTATAATAAGATAAGTAACATTCAAATAAAAACATACTTTAAATTACAATGAAAAGATTATCAATAACTCACTTTAAACCGGGCACACACTGACCGATGCCATCACTCAATGCTGTCTGCTGATTGTCAGTAGCAGTCTAACCCATCAAATCGCACAGTCTCCATGGAATTGCACCGACGACTCAGTTGATGCAGTGTGGGCCGTGTTTTGAAAGGATGGAGCTTGATGTGATTCTTGTATGCTAAGAGTGACTGTAATATATCCCACTTTCCATTTGCTAATATTTCAGAGAAAATGAATTAAGGATTGTGACTTTGTGAAGTCCCAACTAAAAACATGAGGCTTGCCATCGCAAAACCAGCATCAGTGAACAACAAATGAAAGTTGACTTTTTAATATATTCTTATCCTCCACATTATAAGCTTTAAAATGATGGGACATTTACTGGAATTGACTTACTATTGCCAAAGTTCTGAGTAAAAGTATTACAGCTTCTCTATACTAAAGTATACAATACCGCCACAATCTTGTGCTATGTAATCGGTTTGACAATTAGAGATAGTGCGCTGGTTTTGGGATGGCTTGCTTCATATGGACCTCAAACACAAGCGGTTCTGTCGCTGTAAGAATTTAACTTCAAAACATTAATTTTCTTTTTCCCCTATATGTTTCTTTCCTTTCTATTTTTTTTTCCAATGTAGTCCATGTGTTTCTAATTTTTTAAGTTATTGAAAGCAATATCTGATGAGATATCTTTTCATTTTTGTATTGATTTATTTATTGTTTTCAGGCATTTGAACTTGCTACTGGTGATTATCTTTTTGAGCCTCACTCCGGTGAAAACTACTCACGCGACGAAGGTACGTTTCTATACAAGGGAGTTAGAAAGACTTAGGGGAGTGTCTTGGACATTGAGATACACTCCTGTGAGCATCAAAAAACACTCAGAAACTAATTCATTTATTTATGTCAGCATTTTCCCTCTTACAAAAGGGTAACTGACTTTCACACCATGATGACACTCCCATCTTCCACCTTTTGCTATCTTGAGCATCCTCCTCATTTAGACCAACTTTACAGCTTTAATTCTTATCATATCTTTCCATGTAAGCTTTGGTCTTCCTCTTACACCATCCACTTCAGATCCCATGCTCTTTTCACAGGTTCATCAGCTTTCCTTCTCAGCACATGACCCATTGCAATCCACTTATCTTTACCACTTCTACAATAATTTCTTCCAGATCCAATCTAACCATGAGCTCACTTTTATTCTCTCTATTGGACAGTTTGACACCACATACCTTCCGAATCATGGCTTTTTCAGTTCTCAATATACCTTCTACTGACTTCACATTCCACGTTTCTGAGCCATATGTTATCGCTGTTCTAACACAAGCCTTATAGGTCTTGCCTTTCATTCTCATATCTCACAAATTAATATTTGCCTGTTTTTGCTACTGTATCATCACTTGTATCCCTCAAAATCAGCAGGCAGTGGGTATCCAATGGCAACAAATATACTATTGGGCTCATTTAACTAGCTCTTCTGCAAGTGGCTTCTTTCACTTTCAACTTGGTACCAATGGTACCACTGCTTTAGTCAATTTTTTATTGGTCCAATGTGTAATAGATACGATTTAATTTCCTTTTTGCATACACAAATAATAAAATACTCTCAGGTGAAAAGGATCATGAAAGTATAAGACGCAACACAAAAGTAGAGTTGCAACAGTTATAAGATGTACAAGAATATTTTAAATCCATTTTTCTTAGTGGCCATAGCATAGTATATATATAGCATGTATTATTATGTAACAATTACTTTTTTTTTTCTTCAGATCATATAGCTCACATTTTGGAATTAGTTGGTATTATTCCTAAACACATCGCCTTTAGTGGAAAATATTCAAGGGAATTTTTTAACAAAAAAGGTTAGAGAACATTATGTATTTTACTGTAGAAAACTTTCTAGGGCCATAAGTTGTAGGTAAGATATGCGATTGTTGACACACGTTACTTTTACAGTAAGTTACTCATAATTCTAAATACGTTGAGGTAATGTCTAGCATACCCAAAACTTACTTTGAACCTGAGTAATGTGCTTCGAACCTATGTGTAACTTATATCAAACTTATCTCCAACGTATATTGACATATTTGACGTGTTCCAGACAACCACAGAACTTACTGAATGTGTTTCTAACTTATAATGGCATCTATATAAGTTACTAATACGTTATGTATACATCCCACTTGTTATATGCGCTATGTATACACCAAAATTGAAAAAAAAAAATTCAATAGTTCAGCGTATGCCAGCATTTTAGAGAAATTTGGATACATCGGCATACGCTAGCTATTTTGTCAAGGTGTGACAGGGCCATTATTTTAGGTGAACAAATAAATATATACCTTGTTACCAAGCCCTGTAGGCCATAACTACATTGTAATATGCCCAATGATGATTTATACTTACAGGTGAGTTACGAAACATAAAGAAATTGAAACCGTGGGACATGTACAGTGTTCTACGTGAGAAATACGAATGGAATGAGCAAGAGAGCGAGGAATTTGTCTCCTTCCTACTACCGATGCTCGAGTTTGATCCCAGTAAGCGAGCGACAGCCCGCGAGTGTCTGCAGCAAAAGTGGCTGTATTCGTGATGAAGTCCATGTGTGTAAATAATCTGCTGTAAAAAGTCCTTCTGTAATTTAATAATGCAAAGTTTCTGGTCTCTTTGTAAAAATCCGAAAGTACTGATTAAAAAACCCCTATCTTTTTCCAAGCTTGAGGGTGACGCTAACTAGTATAGTTACTTGTAAAGTAAGAACAAACTTTGAGGAATAGAATGTAAGCCATCATGATTATATATTTCTACCTTTATCTGCTTCTTCTGTTCATCATCATATTTCTGAAGATATAGGTTCAAAAATGTAAAATCATGATCGTTTGCTTTCATATTTTTCGTACTAACTTAAACTTATGGTGGACCCGATGGTTAATCGTAGTGTGTCTTAAGTAAGTTTTTGTGATTTGTTTAAAGTTTGTTACTGAAAATGTATTTCAAGTATAATGCCTGTTATGTGTCACAAATAAACAGCCCTCGAAATTAGGAAAAGTATGCATTAAAATGTTTGAAGTGTTAGTAGTTTCAGTGAACGCTAGAAGTCAATCTAGGCCTTGTGAGGTCCGACTCGCTGGAGCTGCAGTCTTTTTTATGTCTGGCAACCATGTTTAGATGCTGTAAAGATTTAGCTTAGAAATATCGTTCAAGAATACACATAATTATTGATTTAATAATCATGTAAATGTTGTGATAAAAAATTCCTCAAGCTTTAGCAGTCAATTTCGGTTTGTCAATACTGACACAGGCTTGACAGTTGATTGGCTCTCTTCAGTTACATGAAATGGAAATGGATTTTGTTAAAAATGGAAGCATATTTGATGTTTCGAAATTATGAAGGATTTTATCAAATTAACAATAAACAATATAGAATCATTGGCATGATTGGAAAATCTTTCATACGATGATATGATCACCCAATGTATGCTCTAATTATGTTATGCAAGTTGATACATAGCATACTTAAGAGTACATTCTGTTTGATTTTAACCATATTGTAATTATCATATAGTGTGAGGCATGCCATCCCAAAACCAGCAATACTGTCACTCAATGTAACTGAGATACTAAGAGTATTGTATAATTTAGTACATGGAAGCTATAATACTTTTACTTTAGCAAAAGTAAGTTGCTTCTAGTAAATTTTTACTTGTTTTGGTCTCTGATGTTGATTTTGACATGGCAAGCCCCGTAAAAAAGACAATTAACTAGCTTTCATTTAAATGAAAGTGTAATGTATCATGTTTAACGATTCTAATTAAACCTCTGCTGCTGGCCAGCTTAAGCCTAAGACTGGCGTCAGACATTTTCTTTGGTGAAATCTGGCGCCTCAGTGCCATTGATTACGTTGTCATTGCAGAATGCGGTTGCTAATTTTGAGGGCCGAGTAAAGTGACATATATCATGTAAGATACTTGTGACGTATTTCAAGTTACTTGTAATGCTAATAAATCCTTGTACATTTTCCCCCTTGTGAATAAGATAATAGGTTTTTATTTTCTATTGTAAAAGAAAATTGATTTGATTTTTTTTTTTTTTGAACTGTAAAATATGTCTTGGTCTTATAAGCACTATGACAGCTCTGGGGGATTTTTGCCCCAAGAACTTGAAAATTTGTCTTAAAATTGAGACAACCTAAGACTTTCTAGTACTGTGATTTTTTAATCAAATGGTGTTTTTTTTTTCTTGTTGGACTTAAAGATTTGTTACTTTTTAAAAGCAAAATTCTGATTTATGCAAAGTAGTTAAACACCCGAAATTCTAAAAACAAACTTTAATTCTTATTTAAGTGAGGCTTGAAAAATGTCATATTGGAAAAATAAACTACCATTATTTAATGTGCACTTTGACATCGGTGTTTAAAGCAGGCCATATTTTGTAGCTGGCATGATATATTTTTCCCTGCTTCTGGTCTTCTCAACAAGAGCAAGTGGTTAGGTGGAAGTGGGTTGTCATCAATAGGATTGTGCGACAATTTTGTAATGGGGCAGCTGTTGATCATGTTCTCGATAATACTTATTAGAGTGATGAGGCTTTTTTCATCAAAAGTCTGTTGTCGGAGCAGGCAGTACATGATGGTCCAAATTCTACATTTTTACCTCTCCCATACGCCTCCCATGTGTGATGCCGTCTGTGGATTAAATACCATTTCACATTTTTCTGGAGCATGAAGTTGTTAATTGTGTTGACATTGCACTCCTCAACTGCCCTTTTCATCTCTTGTTTAGCACCAATGAAATTTGTGCTGTTGTCAGATATTACCGCTTGTGGCGAACCACGATGTGCAGTAAATCTCTGGAACATGTTGTTGAACTAGTCCGTTTTCGGGGAATGTGCAACCTCAATATGAATGTCATCATCAGGAATCATTCCTGATGATGACATAATTAATGTCGAAATATTGAATCCCAACACGATGGCGTGTATTTCAATACTTGGAGTATCAATATGAATGGGTTAGGTCGTATTAATTGGGTCAAAATATGGCAAGTCAGATGCATCATGATAAAATTAATGAAATAAACATTCCAGTTAAAATGGTGAAATTAACATTGTTTACCAGTTTCTGGAGCTAGACTGCAACACATACTCCAATAAGTTTTTAAAATAAATTTTACTAACTGTTTGTTGATTTAATTTGTGTAATGAAGTACTAGTGCTATATCAAGCCTAATTAAAGAAAGAACTGAAGTTTGTTTTACCATATATAGGTGTAATGACTAGAATATGTAGTGTATTGTCAATTGTGTAGGAAGTACTGCGAAGGGTAGTTTCACGTGAACCGTTCAGAATTAAAAGCGAAGATTTCGTGTTACAAGGTCTTACAAGGTCTTACTCAGCACAAATTTTAGGTAGTGAGTGATTAGTGCAAACAAATTGTTGTCTTAGGAAAAATCAACTTTTCTGATCTTGACAATTGCTGCCAGATTTTTCTAACCAAATTTGAAAACAAAAGAGTTGCTTTACAAATGATCATCCAGTTTGAATCTTCTTTATTAATAAGTTGATGATGGAATTAGCTTGCCAATTTAGAATAGTAATTGTTTAACTACTTCTGTGCTATTGAATAAAAGGCTTTTAAAAATACTATTTGTCACTATTTCTAAGTGAATTACAAATTTACTGTGCTGACCATATGATCAGAGAAGGGATTATGTTAACACTGTTGCTCCTATTGGATTTGGTGCATTTTGTGAAGACATTAATTTTGAAATAACATAAGGAACAAGATAAATAACCTAACATTAAAAAAAAAAAGTTATAGATCTAAGCACAGTCATTTTGTTGAGTGCTCTTTGAGCTGAATAGGACGTCAGTGTATAAAAATTTACAATACAGAAGGCTTTGTTTCCGGGATACTTGTAAAGATGCCCTCAGTTAAGCCATGTAACATGATTATACATTCAGTTGGCAGTCGATGTGTTACATGAACTAAAATTAATTGGCCATGTACTGTAGGTTTATCAAATGAAGTTGATTTTGACCAAGATTTCTAGAGTTGCTTTGTACACAAACATTTATTTTGGGTCGTAATAACATTTTTATAGGTCTTTTGAGAGTGGCTATTGTTACACCAGTCTTAAACCAAATTTTTTTTCCCCCGATTGAATTCATGCATACAGTAACATCAAATCAGAATTAGGAATTGGTTTAAGACTGGTGTAACAATAACCACTGCCTATGATTTAAAGTACACATGAAGTAAGATTGAGTCTCAACATTCAGTTCAGGCAGTGTTCCTTCGCCTGTTTGGGATAAAAAATATCTCAAGACTTATCTCTTCTCCATCTCATTCTAAGATTTTTGAAACATGTAAATTGTTTGTTTTTTGTTTTTGTATTTTTTAAATTTTCATAATCGTACAAGCATTGTTAATTAACATCGGTAGTTAACGTGCACTTTGGGTAATGCCATTGTCATAGCGCCACTGAACATTGCAATCTGCTGTGGATATTGGCACTATATAAATCCTGGTTGATTGATTGATTGATTGATTGATTGGTTGATTGGAGAGACTCGCACTTCAGCAATGAGGGCAATAAATCAGTGAATCTATAGAATAAGGATTTTGTCGACTTTGTTTTGCTCCTACCAAGGTCTGTAATTGTAGAGAACATATTTATATACAGTATATATATGTATGGTGGAACAATATTTGATAAGTATTTTGTTATAATACAGTATACATCGCCTCTTATGCAGTCAACTTAGTCAATCACCCTCTATTGCCACTGTGTACTCTTGTCGATTAGTTGTAGGTCATTATGCAGATACTGAGCAATTTTTTCGCCTTGTGTCTGTCTTCAAAGGTTTGTGCTAAATATAGATGAAAAGTTGTACTTTTGTATATAATTGAAACTTTCTGTTCATTAGCAATAGCACAGCTATCATGTCCATCAAAGGCCATACCAATGACTTTTCCCATAAAATGTTTTTTTTATAGGTTTTTATTTTTTTAGGAATACTATTTGTTAGATATTCCTTTTTTTTACTTATGATTTGCATTTGTTTTGTTGTTATTATTTATCTTGTCAGAATCAATTTTTTTGTTTTCTCCCAACTTCACTTTCTTAATTATGGTTATTATGAATTGTCATAATTAATTATTAATAATTATTATTAATTACTAATTATTATTATGATTAATTGTTGATTGTTATTAATATTATGATTAATTATTAATTAATATTATGATTAATTATTAATTGTTATTAATTAATAATTATTAATTATTTATTAATATTATGATTAAATAATTTTTATTATTAATTAATTATTAGATTATTAATTTATTGTGCATGAACCTCATGTTGAGAAAACAATGATCGTGCAGTGATGGTGAATTGTCTGTACATGGGGGGAAAAATTCACCATTCAGCTTCCCACCAGTGTAGCTAACCGAGCTCTGCTGCCCTCATTGACGAATTATTTGTTACACCGATACTAAAAATAGTAATAGCAGAAAGGTTAGTATATGGCCAAATACTATAGATGTTAAAATCCACACTCAAAGCTTGTAATTCCCCTAACCACAAAATTGAAATGGCCAAATGAATTTCCCCATTGTGGTATAATAAAATGTTGTTGAATTGAATTGAATTTTCATAAATTTAGCATTATACAAATTTGAGTTGAAAGTAGTTGAATGAATTTTAATAATTTCAAATATTTTTTTATTTATATCACCAATATCCAACAGCGACAAAGTTCGCCCATAATATGATTGTGGTAGTAGGAAGTTTACGAAATATAATAAATTCTTAATCAACTCCAAAATGTTTGATATAAGTTAACAGGGATCGGGCTAATGTCTGTTAGCTCTTATAGAAGCATCAGAAGCCCAGAGTCACATTAAAATATACTGCCACCTAGCCTATATTATGTTTAATATAAATTTGAAAATTATTTAAAAATTAATTAATTAAATACTAATTGTTTAATTATATATTTCAATAACATTTCAACTGAAAACTTTAAATTGAAAAAAAAATGTTTTTTTCAACAGATGTTTGAACAATACCATTAGCATTTGCATGTACAGTATTGTTAAATTTCTATGAGAAAATGTAAGGATATTTGTATTAAACTTCTGTCATTATAAACTGATTTTTGTTTTTCTCAATCTAAGTCTGTTGCTTTTGAAATTTAATAATTTACAAGATTATGTTAAATAATTGTTGTAGATTGTACATTGATTTTTTTTAGGTGGCAGTATATAACTAATAGAAGTTTGTAATTTATTTAATATAATTGTTAATTTCTTTAGAAAGAAGTAAAACTACATAAAAGGGGAAACTATAACCAGACAGTAGAAGCTATAGGTTTCCAGTAGGCTACTGTGTTTGGTCAATCTGTAAAATGATGTGATTGGTTCTTGCCGTTCTCAAACTAGAACCTGATTGGTGAATTTGCATTTGTTGTGATGTGCATGATTTCAATATCATACACCTGGGATTTATTTTTGCATTATTGAGGGTCGAGGTTGTTGAAAATTGTATCGGAAATACAGTGAAATGTAAAGAATACATAGTGTGTGTTTTATCAATTTATCATGACCTATGAAGATTGTTTCCTTAGAAACAATCAAGTATATGAAGTAACCGAAATGAGATCGTGAATTAAATTTGAATTTAGGCCAAGAACTTTTTTAAAAGTCCTTGTTTAGGCTAGCTCAGATGACTTTGATGAGTTCCATCATGGATGATGGATTGTAATGCAGGTGTTACGGTAATCTATTTTAGTTGTCATGATTAAAAAAGTTTTCTGGTAACGTTACTATTGTTGTCGTCATCATTATTTTATGATTTTTTTGGTAAAATAAAATGGTTTTCACATGTTAAACTATACAACTGCAGTTGTGGATCTAGGGTGTGGAGAAAGATACCACTGACTATCCATCCCTGGTAGGGATCCTCTTTTCGTGATAGCCTCTTTTCAAGATTCTTTTTGAGATTGCTTTTCCAAACTAAAGAGGGGCTTCTTTTCAAAATAATACTGTAAATGTTGGAATTTCTACTATATACATTTGTCAACTATGGAATTTGAAACTCTGTTTAATATTTCTTACTTAAACACCGGCGTTTTTTAAATCATAATAACTCGGTCATAGGGCTTCTATTCGAGGTTTTACGGTCATCTATCTGCTCATCTGAGAAAGGGCTTGATCTATTTTAGCACGTCTACTCTTTGCTAGAGTTCCTACTGTAGAAGAGTTCCCAGAGAGTTCCCAGAGCCATATATATAAAGAGTTGCGACATTCCGCTCCTTGGTTTACGAAAGTCACGTGGTACACACCGTCCATTTTGTTTCATAATCTTCCCGATGAACACATGCAAAGTATATGTGTTACGTACATTGCATATTAATTTCACACACACTTAATTGGGTTTACAATTATATTTTATAATTAACATCACTTAGTATGAACAGCGTATAAGAATTCGTGTATAATCAAATATTTTCGCGCGTGCGTGCTCGTGTAAATTCCGTGCTCGCGTAAATGATTGAAATTAAAATTAGAAATGTTTTCAATTATCGTTAATTCGTCACATTTTAATCAACGAAGACCCGACCTATTTCATTTAATGGTAATCTTTTCTTTGGTTTTAATTGTTTTTAATAGTTTTTAATTATATATATATATATATATATATATATATGTAGATTAAAAGGCAAAATACTGGAAAACAACAATGCTGTGGGAAACAATCTTCCTTAATTATATAAATTTAAGGCATCAGTTGCATTATTACACTGTTTACGTTTTTCATTAAAATTTTATTTTCTCATTCGCCTAAATAATAAGCTAAATAAGAAAAAAAAAAATTTTTTTTTTGCCCTTTTCTGACGATCTTTAAAAGTTGTTCGCTAAACAATATTAAAATTATTGTTCTTAATTTAAATTCTTTGTACAGCCTGTATAAATACGAATGACAATGAAAATAAAGGTGATGTTTAATAATCTTAAAAATGATTTGCTGTTTCTATTGCATACTATTATATAATTATTATAACTTTATTTTGGAAACGACGCTTTTAAAACAACGGACACATTCTTGCAGTGTGTTTATAAAAGTAACATACTGTACAGCCATAATACAATATTAAAACAGAGGTTTTAATACAATAATATACGTTACACAATTACGCAAGTTGAATATGTCACAGATCCTGTATGTCATTTAACACTTACAATTTATAACATTTACAGCAAAGCACAATTTATATATTGCGGCCAACTGACCTATACTATTTTAATACTTATATATAATAATAATCAAATTAATAACATAAGATTTGTATAGGGCTCGCTCATATTCTAATTTAAAGAGCAACAATCTATATACCCTAATTACATTTTGATATACATTTTTAATTAATTTTTGCTGGTCTTACATATCATTTATTTGCAAAAATAACAGGAGCTACTTAAGGGTTTATATGGCAGGATTGCCTAATTGAAGAATGCTTGCCATCGAAGGGCTCTCTCGGTCTATCGGCGAGGATTAAAGAACTGCTAAAAAATAGTAAATTATTACAGTATTTATAATATGAAATTGGATATAAACTAGTGAAATCATTAAAAAAAATCTATAAATAGAGTTACATGAAATTCGACTGCTAAAAAGATTAAATGGAATTAAACTATATAGGAGGCCGCTAACTGTATTATACAATATTATACACAGGAACGCACATCACGTTAGACACAGAACGCACATCGCGTATGACACAAAATGGCTTCTAAATTCTCAATGTCGCAACTCTTTCTATTATTTTAACATTGGAAATTTAAATGTAAATATAATGACGTTAACGAATAAATAACAATAATTAAAACGTGTACATAGTATTACTACTACAATAAGATTAATATTTTTTAATTTTATAATCAATTTTATATAGCCGGGGTTAGTATTGACCTAGGCTACTATGGCTAACGACAGGTACGCTTTCTCCAATAAAGGCCTTTTCTATGAATGGATTGACCTGTACGAAACACAAACTCCTGAAGACCGAACCCAGTACCGTTACGATTTTAATCGTGCAGGAAATATCCTCAAAATTTATCTTGGAAAGACGTCTTTCCAAGATAACGTATCTTGGAATTCCGTCTTTCCAAGATAATTTATCTTGGAAATCCATCTTTCCAAGATACGTTATCTTGGAATTCCGTCTTTCCAAGATACGTTATCTTTGAATTCCGTCTTTCTAAGATACTTATCTTGGAATTCCGTCTTTCCAAGATCAATTATCTTGGAATTCCGTCTTTCCAAGATACGTTACCTTGGAATTCCGTCTTTCCAAAATACGTTATCTCGGAAAGACGTCTTTCCGTGATAAATTATCTCGGAAAGACGTCTTAATAAGTGTTTATTCCATGTTTCCGAGATAATTATGTTGGAAACTCGGAAGGTCACTTTAAGCTTCCGTAATAATGGCTCTGAGAGTGCCTAATATATAGCGCCCTCACTTTACTATTTTCTGAAATTAATATAAGGCTACCCTGGATTCGATTGGCCTTGTATCTGCTTTATATTTGAGTTCTATTTATACTCTTTGATTTGAGTCGTGGTGGCAAAGACAAAGTGCGACCGGCATCCAAACAAGTTTTCCCCCGTAAAGTAAGTACTGACGTTGTTCTACTCCACCCTAACCCTAACATTATGATAGCAAGATTGAAGTTGAGGTTAGGGTGGAATACTAAATAAAGTTCATTAGCGCCCAATCAGGCCTAGTCTAGGCCTACAATGTCTTGATTCCTTCCTCTTTTTTGGCTAGGCCCAGGCAACTTCAGCCACTGCCAGGCCATGATCATGGGCCAGAAAGAAGGGCTTATATTAGGCTAGCCTAGGTAGGTGTTTAGCCTAGGTCAGGCTAGGCCGAGGTCTGTGGTTGTTCGACTAAACCTATGGATTAAGGATGTCTAGTCTAGGCCTAAACTAGCATAGGGCCTAGGCTATCCACAAAGTGACAGAATGACAATGAGGCAATCAATTCAATGAATGACTCCCTTCTTGCTTGCTTGTTGAATTGAAGCCCAGGATCACATAACGTAGGCCTAGAACCTAGTTCCTCGGTAGGCTAGACTAAAACCTGAGGCCAAATGTAGCTATGGCCTCTGCCCAAGTAAGGGTCTCATTGGGAGGAGCTTTGGTCTCCAGACCCCTGCCATTGGCCTGGCAGCTACGTTAGCCCATGTCCACTCACAGCGGCTGTGAATTTTGGTGCTATGGCTGCCAATTTTAATAAGGCAGTGACTATTGTTAGGTACACTAGTTTGACACCAATTCTTAATTCTGATTGGATGTTATTGTCCTAAGCCAATCCATTAAAACATCCAGTGAGAATTAAGAATTGATTTAAGACTGGTGAAACAATAGCCACTGCCTTTAATTAATCAAACAATATTTATGGTATCCTACAATATTTCCTCATGTGATTTCACCATATAGGTTATATAGCATTTTTTTCAAACAGATTGCTTCTTTGTTGTTGCCAGTCATTGCTACGTACAGACTTTTTTTTCAGATTGTATGAACATATCTCATTTCTTTGACATTTTTGGTTTGCATACATTATTAATCTTCTTTTCCTTTGCAGTGTTATTTTAAAACTATTGACCTTGTTAATATTTTATTTCAACTCCACAAGAAACAAGGTTATTATCGAGCAGCACCAATTTAACATCACATCAGTTTTTTGAAGAGGTGAAATGGCAGCTGAATTGAAGGGGAAGATTCAAACAGGTAGATTAAATACAGTTGTTGAAAACAGTAATACAGGTCTGGGGTCTCCCTCCAATTAAGTCCTCTTTTGGGACTGGGATTTCTATGGTTTTTAGCAGCTTTCTAATTAGAAGAATAAAGATTAGACATTTGTGAATTTGGGACCACAGAATTGTGGTCTTTCATTGGAGGTGGTCTTTAATTGGAGGGGTTTTTGTGTATAATACACCTATATTAAATTGTTGTGAAAGTGATTAAACACTTATACAGTGGTTATTGCTATTGCAATTTTGTAAAATTATGCATACAATATTCTTGTTCTTTTATCTTTCAGTACTGGGTCCCATTGATCCATCAACATTGGGTCGCACGTTGACCCATGAACATCTGCATATGACCTACACTAGCTGTTTCCAGGCGCCACGTGATGAAGACCGGGAAATGATCGACGCACCAATTGTTATGAGAAATCTGAACCATATTAAACATTTTCCGTAAGCATTAAGTACTAAATGAAAGAATAAGTCTCAATGTTTTATGTATGTATTATTACTTTTTGTATACCGCCATTAATGATGATTTTGTATAACATAATAGTTCTATTGTCAAATTATCTTTTTCTAGGTATTCAAACAAAGCTAATTTGAATCTGCACAGTGATGGTGATGCCATCATTGAGGAGCTGGAGATGTTTAAAAAACGAGGAGGATCATGTATCGTTGAAGTTTCACCAATAGGAATTGGCAGAAATATTAAGACTTTAGCTGACTACTCCAAGAAAACAGGTGTTCACATTGTGAGTGGTACAGGTAAGTATGCTAATTAGCTATTATTGCACTTTTTTCAAAATATGAAAGAGTAAAATTTTTCGCAGACTCAGTTTTGTTATTTTTTTTTTTGCCAATTTGAGGCTCAAATTTCTTAATTTTTTTTTTCTTAATTTACACACTTTTCAAAGATAGAAAACTATTATTCTACACTAGTTTATTACTGTACACTGTATTATAGAGGCCTGGGCAGCGACGTAGCTAAGTGCCCCAGTGCAAGAATAATTGCCGGTCCCTTTGATGTGATATGGGGAATTCCCTAAAGTTCTCAGAAGATTCATCGTAAGAATTGCTTCTTTACACCCTACTCCTAAATGCCTAGGTTAGTAATAAATACTGATGATAATTGGATTTGTAACTATTTTAATAGGGGCATATTTGGTCTCAGCAGCTGTTCTAAACTAATCAAGAAAATAGGTAACACATAAAATTAAACAATTGCAGTGGCGGATCTGGGAATTCAAAATAGAGGGGCCAGGGAGGAATTTTCACAGGTGGAGGATGAAGCCCACCTCAACCCCACCATGTTAGGGGTTGAGGTAAAAAAAATTAAATTAGCACCTATAGATGGCTGGAAATGGCACTATATATATATATATATATATATATACATATATATATTCTAGTTTTTAAAAATCAAAACCTCATTTGACATTTACCTCAGCCTTAATTTGTTCATATTTTTTCAATCAATTTCAGCCCTGATTTTTTTGACCTTTGAATTATAATTAGGTTACTACCTCGCTTGCTCGATGCCACCGGAGATGGATACGATGAAAGAAGAGGAAATTGTGGCTGGCATGAAATATGATTTGACGGAAGGGGCCGATGGAACGGATTTTAAATGTGGGGTTATTGGAGAAGTTGGATGTTCTTGGCCTTTACATCGTAAGATATGCTGTTGCTTACTTTACTTATACCGTACTTTATTTATACCTTGTTTAGTGAATAACCCGCCTATACTAATGATTTTGAATAGAATTTAAATTTTGTTTTTGACCGATTAGCGCTCCCTCTGCCAATAAAACATGGAAATTTTGAGAAAAGTATTTTATTTGTAAATCTCTAAAATATAAAATATTTCTTCATTATATAAATTTATAAATTCCCATTACTACACTGTTTACATTCAACAATAACATTTTATCTTTATTTTCTCCCCCATCTGGATGTTTTTGGTAAATAAGAAAACAAAACTGTATTTATATTTTTTTTCGGTCCTCTGACAATCTTTAAAAAAAGCAAGTGCGCAAAACAAGGTATAAAAAAAATGTCTCGCCTTAGCCTTAAAAAAAATAATTTCCAGAGAATGTTAAGAATTTCAGAGTCTGCAGAATCAGAAATGACTAAATGTCTTTGGAGTATTATTTTTTAGTCTATTTACCTTGTTACAGCAAATGAGAAGAAGGTTCTTCGTGCAGCTGGTATCACCCAATCAGAGCTTGGATGTCCGGTGATCATACATCCAGGGAGGAATGAAAAACATCCAGAATTGGCACCCACAGAACACCTCAGAATCTTCCAAGAAGCAGGCGGAGTTGCCAGTCACACTGTCATGTCTCACTTAGATCGTAAGTTGACAAATAACAAAGGATCCCTGTTTATTCTTGACAGGAATGATGTTAGATGGTAACCCCCTTTTTGACTACTATAGTAGTATTTTATCATAAATTAGTTTATTAAAGAAACACTTCCTTCCTATAGAGTACAACAGTCGTGTCGTCACAACACCAGGTGGCGCCCTTAGTTGTCAACCAGATGTTGGTTGCCGACCTTGTCATTTAAGACGCGTGATCGCGCTTGCGCACCATCGCGCACCTAAACTGCTATCGAGGGGTGTGAAAATAGTTTGCCTTACATTTCAAAACAACTCGCCTCCACAGCCCTCGAAATCCTGATGCAATTTTTGCTCTCCACGGCAATCATTTACCGAAGTAAAAGATGCTAGACCTAGGCTGGAAAACATCTTTTTACCGATATTGTGGGTCAATGTACCAATTTTTATGAACCGAACAAACAGTTAATAAACAACAATTTCCGGACAAAATAACGCAATAATCGCATTGCTTTCTAGGAGTTAACAACTAATGTAGGTCTAGCACAACACCCTTTGAATGAACCGTTCATACTGCTTTCTCATTCCCAATAGCGTACTGCTGCCAGAGATCATCTATCGATTTTTAAAACGACACATCATCAAACTCCTTAAAGCAAGTTCCTACGATTTCTGACTCTTTTAGTAGACATTTATTTGGATGTCCTTAGATTCATCAGTGTAAATACAAATCCATAGCTTCACTTATTCTTCAAACAAGACACTTTTGAGAAACATGTTGCTAATTTAATTACAAAGGAAATTTGTAGAGAATAAAATTTTAATTTGTTAGATTTTCTTAGATTTAATTTCTAAATATAGGCGAAATACACTGAGTTTGTTCTATCAGCAACCTGTCACGCAATGAAACTTTGGGCGATCTGACGTCATCACAGCCAAGCACATGTTTGCACATGACCCCATGAAAAAAATTAACCAATTAGCTGACAGAGTTCAGGAGGCGTGATTTGATGTCTGATGTTTACAACAAACGACTGACCAGCAAGTGGCATTGTGACTATGAAGAATGTGTTTAGTTTAGGGGAAAAATATCAGACCTAAAATGCACGTAAAAACAATATAAAAGCATTTGTTTTATTAGTAAGATTTGCTGTACAGTACAGCAAAACAAAAGGTACTGTACACTCTATGTTTGTTAACTTTTCGTAGGCTAGTCATACCAAACCCACGGGACTCTTGCTAGGCCTAGATCATTCATAGGCCTACGCCTATTTCAGCAGCTAAGCCGTAGCCTAGCTGGCCTACAACATGCTTGTTCAAAAAGGGTTCAATAGATAGGTTACACTAACCAAACTTTCTGGAAATCCGAACATCGTAACCGGTCCCGAGGTGGGAGGGGGAGGGGTTGGTTTTGAGAGAGTGCACTTTATTTCTGTAGGCCTACATGTAAATATTGGAAGTTAAATTTGATGTCTTGTTGACTCCTGTTGATTGCACTGAATGTATAGCGATTGAACGTTCATCTGCAGTATTTCTTTAATCTCTTCACCCCCTCCCCTCCGCGCTATCCCGCAACATAATCACTTGCCTGAAAATTATGATGAGTGTTTTATTGCTCGCCTGCCATTTTCAAATGACAAGGCCTGGCAAATAAAAAATGTTTACCCATAATTTTACAGCGAAAAATGATAAAAACACTTCCAGTCACTGAAAGTGTTTTATTGTTTTTTATTATAATTATCCAGTATGTCACTGCAAAGTAAGCAAGTTAATTTAATTAATTAGTTTAGTTAATTGTTTTTTGTCATTTGCAGGGACAATACATCTTTCAACTTTTTTATTGTTTATTTAACAGGATGTTGTCAAACACCTGAAACTGTGGAGGAGTTCGCCAAACTTGGATGCTATTTAGAGTATGATCTTTTTGGAAATGAGTGTTCCTATTATCAGACGGTTCCAACGATAGACTTCATCTCAGATGCTCAACGAATCAGTCTTATTAAGGGTCTGGTGGATGAAGGCTATGTGGATAAAATTGTTATTGCCCATGATATACACACAAGACATCGCTTGGTACGTATCATCATTTTGGCTTTTTGGATATTGATACTTTAAATTCTTTATTCAGTATATTTACTGGTGGCTAGCAGTTCATGAAATATGGCCTTTCTTAATGCCTAACCTTACCCGGCTAGGCCAGGGCCGGGCAAGGCTATTCTAGGGCTAAGCTAGGCCAAGGCCGGGCTAGTCTAGGCCGAACCAGTCTAGGCCGAACCGATTCATCCAAAAATATATTTTTCAACTATGTTAAAGCCTTGTCCAGACTTTCAAATTTTATTTGACAAAAAAATACTGTTGTATGCCCATATATAGTCACGATGCGCCTATATATGGTCATCACATGATGTCGTCATGACCATATTTAGGCATGTCACATTTTTGTTAAATAAAATTCTGCACAGGGCTTTAGGATGCTACCTTTCCACATTCACATCTGAATATGGTGAGATGATTTTTTAATATATTAAGACGCCTAAATATGGTCATGATGACATCACATCATGACCATATATAGGCACATTATGACTATATATGGGCATACAACAATTTTTGTCAAAGAAAATTTGATATTCTGGACAGAGCTTTAAAAAACTGATGTTAAAAAATATTCTAGTTTTTATTGATTGATAGTCCTTAATCAAATTTATTATATATTTTATTTTTTCCTCAATTCAGCTGAAGTACGGCGGCCATGGTTACAGTCACATCCTGGAGAATGTTGTTCCAAAGATGTTAGTGAAAGGAATGTCTCAGGAAAACATTGACAAAATACTCATCGACAACCCAAGATCATGGCTCACTTATTTCTAGTAGATTTATCCTGCAAATCTTTTTCTGTTTGAAAATTGTGGCTTGCATATTTGAGGCATATGGCAAAGTGACCATATTGAGTAAATGAGCTAAAAAATATGGGAGCTCAAGTAATGGCCTGAAATACAAACCTTTTTATTTTCACTATAAATCGGCAGTGTAATATCTAACAGATGATATCTCAAAAGTTCTGGAAATGGTCAACCATAGAGAAAATATTTTCCCTGTGGGTCAGCAAACCAGTTATTTTACATCCATGATTGTCAGTACCATAAAATAAAAGTATGCATGAATAACTTTAAAAGGGGATTATTCATATTAATCTTTATTTTCATCGCAAGAGTGCTGTAGCTTTACGCCCCAATAACTCTTAAAATGTCCATTTTCAGTGATGGAACTAGGGATTTGAAATAGAGGGGGGTCCAGGAAGGAGAGTTTATACCATCTCATCCCCACCATGGTTGGGCTTAGGTAAGAAAATTATGGCATCTCTAGATAGCTGAATATGGAACTCTCAGCTGGGGGTGCCCCGTCCCCCTTTTAATCTCCACTGAAATCCAATGAATGACCCCACATTTTAAAGCTTTCATGCTGAAAATACCAATAACATGACTCAATTTGGAACCATTAACAAATTTCTATGGAGAAGTTATTAGAAATACTACCAGTTCTTCCATCTATGGCTGGAAAACAGTATTCTACCTCATTAGCTATTATGCTAATTATCATTGAAATAGGACAAGTAATACCAGATGTTGTGTCTGAGAAATTTAATTAAACTGGTAGCCCACATTGACCCAAGATGTGGCGTGCCCAGGCACTTATAATTTATATACCAGGTATCAATTATGTATATTTTTTTAAAACTAGATATTAATCAACAGAAGAAATTTAGTAGTATTATAAAAAATACTAAATCATGTATGTTTACACAGTATACTTTCTTACATTTACTGAAGAAATGAATAAAAAGCTTCCATGGTAATTAGTGTACAATTCTGTCACTTCATTTCGTCACTTCACTTCATCCGCCGATAGAGGATACTACATAGACAGGGCTCAAGGGCGAGGCTTTGGTGGGCGTAAAAAAAATAGAGGGTTTCTGTTGTAAACAATGACCACAGACACCTCCATGCTTGATACGATTATAACAGGGAGAGCCAGGTCCCCCATCGTGAAGAGCGGCACCCCTCAAATCTGGGAGAAAAAAATATGTATTTTCTACGTATTAGTAGAGAGAACCAGTCCATTCGGGCAGATTCCACTTTGAGCAAATAATTATCAAAAGTAGCAAAACCATTTTAAGACTTGGTGCAGAGCATTTTTGCATTTAAATTACTATTTCACTCACAAATACAAGAATAGGGCGACAATAAATTCGCCCTCGTTATAGTTCACACTAAATGCGGAGCGGAGTTAGTTCATTGAATCATTCATTAACTTTGCATGTGGTATGTATTGATACTGAAGATCCTGTTGAAGATAGAGTAGAATAATAAATAACGTTTACATTGTCATTGATTGAGTAATGTTGTATCCTTTACTTTATGTAGTGAGCAATGCATTTGACTATGAATTCGTCCGCACAGGCCTATATTTAGTTTGGCGTTGTAGGCCTAGACCTATTTAGGCCTATGCTAGGCTAAGGGCACATAGAATAAATTATTAGATTATCACTTTTTTTTTATTTTTTTAAAGAAATTGATGAGGGAGGGCGGTGTTTGTTTTTTTTAATAGGAACAATAGATTGTTTCACCTTTTTTATCGATGAGGAAGGAACTGTTATATTTGGTCTGTAATAATAAATATTGTATAAAAATTGGTTTAATTTCATAGTCTCTTAAAGAAATTGTATTTGAAATCAGAAAATTGCATTGTTATTTTTATGCTGTTGAAGTGATTGATGCGGCAAAAAAAATTTTTTTTATTCCCGCATCAATGTTTCCCAAATTTTTGCCGCAGGCAGGAGTGATAATCTAATAAATTTTTCTATTTGCCCTATACCCCATCTAGCCTAGATAGGAAGGGGAATGCCCAATTGCGCACAACCTAGCTAGGCCTAGGCCCAGTTTTACACCCTATCTAGGCCCTATACTGGAAGAGTGATGAGGGAGGGAGGCTGGCTTTTTATTTTTTATTTTGCTGAAGCCAAATATCACCCTTTGAATGTTTGCTGGTAGGCCTAGGGCCTAGTACATTAATATTCAAAGTAAAATACATGATTAAGATGATAATAATACAAACAATATCTGCTAAATTATATTTACTAAAAAAGTAATAAAAATTACAAAACAATTGAAAACAAAAATTTCTGAGATTGCTGGAGCTGGCTTGACTCCAAAACTTAAACTTCCAATTTCAATATCCATTTCCTTGAATTATTTCACATCCTGCAGAAAATAGACTTACAGTAAATAGACCAACAGTAATGTAAAAAATATCCCCCCATTCTTGATCTTGAATATTTTTTTGGTAACATCTGGCAAGTTTGTTTATTCTTTTTTTAATATGTTGTGTATTTTTAGTAAAGTTTATGTTCTTATTTATGAAAGCATTGGAACCCCTCAGATTGCCCCCTGAACTAGGTGGATATTCGTGCAATTAATTGCTCTTTTCTCTGATGTCTATTAATATTGTTTATTAATTACCGATAATGCTTATTTTGTAGGTTGTTGTACGACAAATGAAACTGTGTTAGAATTTGCAAAGCATGGTTGTTACTTAGAGTATGACTTGTTTGGGTTTGAGTGCTCTTATTTCCAAATCAAGCCGAAGATAGACTACATCTTAGACGCTCAACGCATTAATCTTATCAAGCATCTGTGGAGATAGAGTTGTGATTGCTCATGATGTACATTCAAAGCATCGATTGGTAGGTTCTGAAATCCAACTCATAAATATTCATAAGCCAAATCCACCAGTAGATGAAGATTTGAAAGTGGCATTTGTCTGATCATCATTGAATATTTTAAACTGAATATCATAACTCCAATTTGTAAAATATATTTTACTTTTTATCAATTCAGCTCAAGTATGGCGGCCATGGTTACAGTCACATCCTGGAGAATGTTGTTCCAAAGATGTTAGTGAAAGGAATTTCCCAGGAAAGTATTGACAAAATACTCATCGACAACCCAAGATCATGGCTCACTTATTTCTAAATTAAACTTATAAATTTATACTAAAGAGGAAAATATTTCATTAGCTCATTGTCATTGTATTTGTTTACTACAAGAACAACCAGGACAATCCTGACACAGGAAATGGTTAAAAAAAATGTTTTTCTAATGATAGAGGTCAGTATTAATGATGATTATTATCTAGAGGCTTGATTTTTGTGCTGATGAACCTACATATATTATGTATTATATTTGTGCAAAGACGTAACTCATCCGTAACCGTACTACATTCTCTGCACAAGGTAGATTCGGCCCAAATTGCATCCTAGAATCCAGAGGACAATGAGAACTCGATATTCTCGCATCCGCAGTGTTTCCACAGCACTTATCATTTTCTTAAAAATTCCCTTCAAATACCTCCAAATCATGCAACATTATGGACAACAATGCAATGTGTTCAACATCAAAACATCTATTTTGTTGACCATCAGGTGAACCCCTTTTTTGAGCCGGACATGGATAGGCCTAGGCCAAGAATGAAATCGTTCAGTACTATTTCACTCTGGGAAATGTACTATCACAATGAGGTTTCATTGTAGGGATTGAAAAGAAGACTAAAAAGAATGCTAGCTTTGTTTGGTGTGCTTTACACGATAATCTAAGAATGATAGGAAGGGATAGGCCTAGTCCCAGCCAGGCTCTGCCGTCGAGTGCAGGCGTTTCAAGCTTTTTTTTCCTTCTTTTAATACTTATTATACATGAAAAATTAACTCGCTTTTTATTATGAAGTGTTTGATACTATAGAGAAATATCAAAGTGGCTGTTTTCCGATAAGTTATCGGATAATAAGTGCTACGGAAACACGGCCTTAGTGACGTCATTACATTCTAGGTCCTACTGTCATTGTGCAATTGAAAAGCTCCCTAATAAATAAAAATAAATAAATAAAAACATACACATAATATAATACTGTTTAGGCAATGTGAAATGGATGCATAAACATACACATCAAATACACTACAGAAACATATGCCTGTGGAAATTATTAGCAGGATGATTTAAAATATTTGTTCATTGTTCCCATGCATCTTTTAGATATTCTTTGATACATTTATCGAAAATTAAACCAAGAGTGGAATTTGTGGAGAAAATATCATCAAGCAAATAATGAAATTTTAGATCTTGGTGAACCATTGGAGAAATTTCCCCAATATTCATGTAAATTATTTTTGAATAGAGCAATTTTAATTTCATCGAAGGACTTAGCCCTAATATTATAAAATTGTGGGCATTCTAATAGAAAGTGCTCTATATTTTCCACCGAGTTGCAGTTACATAGTTTGAAAAAAACCTGTGCATTCATCATACCAAGTACTTTTCCTACCTTCGTAAGCTAAAAAGCTAAGCAGTTAGACCTTGCTTTAAACTTACCACTGACTCTCTTTGAAGTTAGTTTTATCACATAGATATGTTTCAAAAAATGGTTTGTTTTTATATCTGAGATATTCTTTTAACGTTGATTTCTTACAAGCTCTTCCAAACCATTCATTATCATCATTTATACAATTTATGAGTTTAAAATTCATGGTTTAAGTCATGCTTCGAAAAAAGCTGCTTAATGAAATTTAACCATTTCCCTTTCATTTTATTTTCATTATGCATAATCGCTTTTAAGAGTAATCGAGGCCACCTGTCATCGTCAGAATTTTTCAACCGGTTGAAATATTTAATTTTAAAATTATTGTGTATACTGGCAATTGTGTAGCATCCTAGATCTACATTATAATGCTTATTTAGCCACATATCTAGGTGCTCTTAAAAATTGTCTTTGCCATTTCATACTGAAGATTTTCAATTTTGTCGGTTAAGGATTTACACCCATTAAGCTAAATGGAGCAACCATAATTGATGGTAGGTAGACCGATTACTCTCCAAAGCAAACTCTGTTAAAGTTATCCTGATTGTAGATAATTGCCTTTCTAAATGCTATTATTAGCATAAATAGATCATAATGATGGTTTTTATATGAACCATTGCTAAAGTTATCATGATGAATAGATCATGATAACTTATGTGAACGTGCCTATTGTATATTGCTAATTGTCTTCAAGGCCCTTCAAAACAATGTTCACCTACGTCATTAACCCCGCCATTAACCTTGTTTAATAGCACACTCCATTTTGGTCAAAAAATGTATTTCTTGTCTTGCTTTTCTTTACCTCCACATTCAAATTTTCCATCAACTCAAGTCATGTTACAACAAGAGAATTTGAGGTTGTTCATTCTCTTGTTATGCTTAGATTTTGGAATAATCTTCCAACTGACCTTAGGGATATTTCAGATCATAATCATTTTAAACGTGCACTCAAGACTTGCTTGTTTGCCTAACTGTCACACTCTTCTGCATTTTCCTTTTTGTGTTTCATTATTGTAGTCTCTATTATTTGGTCTTTGTTTGTAAGACTGTATTATTGTGATGTATGGGGTTCCTGAATGACGACCAATTTAATGCCTGCCAATTTTTCCCTAAATAATTGAGGCTTGGCTTGCGCTTCATAACCGCAAGGGAAAGGCGCAATATAAATACCCAGTACCAGTAAATCGGTACTTATTCATTCATTACACTTAAGTTGTGGTACACCCTGCTCTTAAGTCTCCCTGTGTCCGTCTAAAGGGTGGCACTCCTTCTCATTCTATCATTTCAGTTCTCCTCTTCACTTAATCTGCGTTTTGTGTAATTTTATAATCTCTTATTTCTGCATAATAATTTAAAAGTATGTAGACAATTATTTGCAAGTTTTTTCTTTTGGAAAATAGAAGAAGTATGCGTGAATCCCTACAGACTCGCTGATTCAATTATGTTGTCCTGGCAGGCTCCTATCTTTTAGAAGCAAAACAGTGTGTAAACACTAGCACAAATTCCGGCAATAGGAAAATCGTGGAATGTAAAATGATGTCACGATTATTATTAATGGTTACATAATGAATACAATTAAAATGTAATTAGTGCATATTGTACACATATACAGTAAAACAGTATTTTTGTAGAGTAGGTCTTCTATGAAAACCAAATATCTTAGCTGCAACATTTCAGAATTAAGAAATTAATACACACTGTGATGGTTGTTTGATACTGACAATTGGAAATGGTGTATAGATTTGTATTTTATAATTTTATATCATTCTATTTTAAATAGTCAATGATGAAAGTGAAATTATGTCCTTCCATACGAAAATGAAATAAATATATGAAATATTGAATTTGAAGTATCATTTTGTCATAAATGTCATACAGATTGATTCTTAGGATCCAATCATGGAATTGACTTGAAAGTATTTGAAGATGGACGATTACACAGCGCATCTATTAAAATGTTTTTGCAAGCATTTTAATTAAATTCTGTCCCAAATAAATAATTCATTCATTCATTCTCATGGTATATATTTTATTCAAAATTTCACAAACATTCAATATTAAATAAGACTTTCCAAATATAACATTGTAGTAAGAACCAAATTGTGTTAAACAAGCCAAAAAAATCGCATTAAAAAACCAATACCGGTACTTAAAAGGCGAAAATGTACTGGACAATGCATTCATGTTTTCTTTCTTCAACCTCCTCTGTCTATACTTCCAGTATCAAATTTGAACAAGACAATCGCAATAGATTTCAATATTATAATAGAACAAGAAAAATACATCTTAGGGTTGAAAAATTTGCAACAGAATTTTCTTAAGGTCCCTGTATGAACATACTAAAAGTCGAGGAAAACCCACATAGGTTAAGTGCATTTTTTTTTTCAAAATGGCTACTTTTAACCAAAAATTTTTTTTCTTAAAAACTTGATCGAATTTGTCTTTTCAATATATTTCAGCACATTTTTTTTTCTTCTAAGATTATGTACAAATCCTAAAATTGTTCTGGTGCATGGAGGTACACTTATTTAATGTGGGTATCGTGAATTTCAAGATGGGTGCCACAAATACGACGACACATTTAATGGTGTGTGCTACAGTGCAATATTGGACTGTGATATGGAGGCTTCGGAAAAAAGCACCAACTTCAAACTACCCAATCAGAAAGGTGTTAGGAGTGCGGCGTGTTGTCAGGCCCGTAGCGTGACTTGATGTGTGGGAGGTTCGTTTCATTGGAAAGTGGCTTGTATGATCTCCGAAACTCTGGAGATTGTAAATATATCTACGAATATAAAGTTTTCGTTTTTAAATGCGGACCCCTCCCCCGCTATGTGGGTTTCCCCCCCCCCCTGACGCTATGTGTGTGGCCCGCCCAGCAACGTTGGCTAGAAAACACCTTGTTTTTTACGGCCTGACACCGATCATATGTAAAAAGTAATATTAAAACTGGGAATAAAGTGGTGTAAAAGCAGTGCTTGGAGGTTTTTTAGAATTAAGCGCACTGGAAAGGAAAGATAAAAGTTTGGGGGTCCCTCAGTGTTAAATCAGAAATTAATTTGTCCTTCTGACCGATGTTTATGCCCACCCCTGAATTGCAGTATATCCAAGGTGGCGGGGCTTAGCGGCGCGGCGAAAAGGTCCATTAAGTTGTTAACTAATTTATAGATTTTCAAAATTTTTAATTTTCATTGACTACCACGGAAGTATTTATAACCTGAATGGAATCAAAAATTGTTTCTCGTTTTAAATTCAAATTTAAATCTTATAACTTAAATGTCACAGTGGCGTGCCTTAGTGTGAGGATCGTTATACGGATGACAAAAATGCCAAATTGGTACAGACATTATGGGTATACAGTTAATGTAAAGGAAAAGGCACTATATAAATACCAAGTACGGTAACAAAAATAACATGTTGTCTTGTCCCATAAAAACACACATGCTTGCGTTCGCTACATCATCATTTTGTGCGACCTTATCCAAAGGCAGGTTCATTCATGTAGGGCCTATTGAATTTATTAACTCACTACAGACAGCATAACATTACATTTTTAGGAATTTAATTTTTGTTTTAATTAAGTTGCTTTTATTTTCTTTTTCCCCGTGTTTTTTTTTTCGTGTTGCTTTCTAGAACCATGCAGAATACGGTACGTCACACTAAATTCCAAAGTCAACATTGATTCTCTTGCAAATTTAAAATAACAGATTATGCTATTAATAATGCGCTTTATATTGTTATTTTTAGCGTATATGTTTATCAATTTAAGAAAAACATACAATATAGAATACATCTATAGTTGCCGGATATGTGTCAGGTATCACTGATTACTTACAAAAATAATAGCATACTTCGGCCTAAATAAAATAAATAAATAATTTTCTATTTGAAAATGACATTTGAACGTCCTTGAAAAAATCATTTTTTGCAAGTATTTATAGGAACGTACTGAGTATTCGGTACAATAACACGTCAGGTAGGGCACCATTGCATACATAGCCATAACATTCTGTATGCAAGGTACGTATCTATTGAACCTTGCATATACGGCTGGTGGTGTGTAGCTTAAACAAGTTTAAATAACATAGAAAACGAAACATCATCTGGTATAACCCTCCATTGAGCAAAGGCGAAACTTGGTTAAAAACACTTTAATGTAGGCAGCACACTTCACAAGCTATTCAACAAAAATGTCAAAGTTAGCTATAGCTGTTCTAGAAATATGGGGAACATCAGTCCCATCAACGGCATAATTCTTCGCACCAAACCACAAGAACATGCAACAGCCGACAGTGGCGTTTCTACTGGGGGGGGGGGAATCACTCCCCCAGATAGGCCTATTATTTCAAGCTGGACATTTGAAATCTATTGAAAAGGTTCAGAGAAAAGCAACTCGTATGAGCATCCCAAATGAACTCAGATCTGTGTTAAGCTATGAGGAGAGATTAGTTAAATTTAACTTGATCTTTATGAAGGCTAGATACGATTTCATTCTTGTAGCTTTTGTTTGTAAATGCCTTTATCATGTGTATGATTTAAACTGTTTGGAATTTGTTAAGATCAACACAAGACACTCTGATGATTTGCGTTTTAGGCATGCCTTTGCCCCTGTCTCTTATACACATCTAGATGTGTATAAGAGACAGTATATATATATTACAAATATATAATAATAGGAATATCATGTAATAATCGTAGTTCATCAACGACTAGTAACTTTATTTCGGTTGCATGAAAAAAAATGTGTCTCTGGCGGGATTCCAACCTGCAACCTCTTGTTGTCGAGGCAAGTATCATAAAATTAGTTTACAGACTCTATAAAATGTATACTGGTAGATCTAACCATCAGACAGTCTCTCATACAACTGAGACATTCGTCACACTTCGATGGTTAAGGAGGAGCTGTCAAGGCGAGTATCATACCTTTAGTCCACAGAAACCCAAATGGTATACGCGCAGATCTAACCTCGTACAACTGAGACACGCTCGCACTTAGTGGAGCTGCGGAGGATTTTAAAAAATATATATGTTGTACAACTGATTTTTCTAAAACATAAAAAACCATATTTTAATGAGATACAGATAATACAGATTTTGTTTATATTTAAAAACTGGGGGAAAACCACACATTTTAGTGTGGACTAAACTTTAGGCACGATCTAACTTTTTAAAATATCTCGGAGTAAAGATTTCCTTTGCGGCAGTTCTTAGTGATTTGTTAGAGATGAAGTATGTGATTGGGTTGAGTAAGCTGTTACAGAAAGCCATCCATTTCAGGTACGTTACAGGAATGCTGTAATTAAGTTCGTCGTGTCCGGTGTGGAAAAGAACGGTGAACAGAGTCAGACGAGCCCCGTATGGAAACCATGTGATGAAGTACACAATGACAATACATTTCAGAACTCGTATGCCGCGTCTCTCCGAAATTTTCGATGAACTTAGTCCTGCTTCACGTCGTTTAGCAAGCCTCTCGGACACTGTAACCACGCTGGACACTCGACTATCTATATCTACGTCTACTTCAATCTACAAAATACAAGATCGATTTTTTAACCAACTGTGAACACATTCACGTAACATTTTGGATTTCAGGAGGTACCGTACCCCCGTACCCTGGTAGGCTCAACAACAAAAGATAATAACATAATGAAAGACTGGCTTATTTTAATTTGATCTCTAGCTATGAAGGCTAAATTTGAATATATTTTAATTTTGTTTATATTCAAATGTTTTTATTGTTTATACGACTTTGAATGTCACAAATTTGTTAAGATCAACACAAGACATGGCCGGCGGAACCGGAGAGCCACTTTTTGACAACAAATATATTATGTCTGGAGATTTTTGTATGATCGGAAAGAAATGCAAGAAAAGAAAGAAGGAAGGAGGAGAAGGAGGGGAAAGAGAATGTTTATCCAGTCCCAGACCGAGTTACATTTTCTCGCAATTCACATTGGCGGATCTGGGGAAGGGGGTCATGGGTCCTGACCCTTCCCTTGGGAACAAAAAAAAGGGGAAAAAAGAATTCTAGACCTACCTTTTCAGGACCCGTGAGCTGTTTTTTTTTTGTTTTTTTTTTACATGTTACATGTTACAATAAGAAAATTAGAATTTTGAAGAACATGAAAGTCATTAAAACACAATTCAAATGTCGGGAAAGCTCATTCATCTAGGAATAAAATTTATTTTTGAAATTTATCGATTCGTAGAAAAAAGAATACGCATGTAACTACTCATTTATTTATGTATGTATACACACATAAAATAAAAAATGAGACCGTCTTCAAGAGGGGAAAACCTTGAATTTTGAAGAACTTAAAAAGTCATTTAAAAGACATTTCCGAAGTCAGGAAAGCTTATTTCCCGCATTCTAGAAATCGAAATTTTCCCGGGGGAACCCGGACCCCCTTTTTGTGGGGGTTCATCGATTCATTGAATCATTTTCAAGAGGGGGAAATCTTGAATTTTGAAGAAATTAAAAGTAATTAAAAGAAACTTCAGAAGTCGGGAAAGCCCATTTCCCGCCTTCTAGGAATCAAAATTTTTTGGGGGGAACCCGGAAACCTTTTTCTTTGGGGTTCATTGATTCATTTAATTATTTTCAAGAGGTGGAAAACCTTTAATTTTTGAAGAAATTAAAAGTAATTAAAACACACCTCAGAAGTCGGGAAAGCTCATTTCCCGTCTTCTGGAATCAAAATTTTCCCGGGGGAGAACCTCCGGACCCCCTTTCTATTTAGGATTTATCGATTTATGAAAAAAAAAATTATATGCAACTACTCAATATTTTTTATGTGTATGTATACACACATAAGGCATATTTACTGTAATAACAAGTGGAAAAATTTACCTGACCGTTTTCAAGAGAGGGAACCTTGAATTTTGAAGAACTTAAAAGTAATTAAGACACCTCAGAAGTCGGAAAAGCTCATTTCCCGCCATTTAGGAATCAAAATTTTTCCCGGGGAGAACCCCCGGACCCCCTTTTCTTTGGAGCTCATCGATTCATTGAAAAGAGAATACGTATACAACTATTAATTTTTTTTAATGTATGTATACACACACAACCGGCCAATTTACTGTAATAAGAATGAGAAAGTTTACCTGACCGTTTTCAAGAGGGGGAAAACCTTGAATTTTGGAGAACAAAGTCATTCATCTAGATGTGTATAAGAGACAGACCACACATTTTAGAACCTAGCTACTTGAGAAGTTGGGAAAGCTCATTTCCCACCATTTAATCAACACTTTCCCGGGAAGAACCCGAACCTCCCTTTTCTCTTTGAGTTCATTGATTCATTAAAATAATTTTCAAGAGGGGAAAGCCTTGAATTTTTAAGAACTTAAAAGTAATTAAAAGACACCTCAGAAGTCGGAAAAGCTCATTTCCCGCCTTCTAAGAATCAAAATTTTCCCGGGGGAGGACCCCCGAACCCCCCCTTTCTTTTTGGGATTTATGGATTCATGGGAAAAAAAATCGTATGCAACTACTCAATTTTGTTTATGTATGTATCATAGCCGTCGGAAGCATTTTGCAAGTGTGTCCGGCCATTTTAATAAGAGTGGACATGGGTGGGTGGTAGGGTGCAACACATTTTTTTTTTCACCATGGTTGAAAAAATGGCTCCTCAGCCGGGAAATAGCACATGCATAATTTTAGAAAAATTAATGTCTTCACTTTTAATTTAAGGGTTACAATTTTTTATATTGGAAGTGGGCCTAATCAGGGCCGGCTTGGCCATTATTCCTTTGCCAAAATGTTATAATAGTTATTTTATATTATACCTCTAAACAATTTCAAAATCAATCTTAAATATTGAAATTAAGGATTGTCAATAAAGTTGAAATGTACATGGCAATACAATAAATTGTGTTATAGGCCTATATTACTTACACGTAGATATATTAGCCAATGCACTGTTTTGTGTATAGCGTTTTTTTTTTTCCCTATTGAATGACGATAAATGTTAGTCGCAATGTCAGTAATATTTTAATGGAAAGACAAAAAGGATTTTTAATTGGTGGTATGGAGGGAGACCTGTGATAGGATTGAGAAAAAGTGGTCCGCCCAAAGCCGGTGCGGCTGGTGCGGTTCCGACGGCCCTGTGTATACACACATAAGGCCTATCTGCTGTAATAACAATGGAAAAATTTAACTGACCGTTTTCAAGAGGGGAAAACGTTGAATTTTGAAGAACTTAAATTAAAGTCGGTAAAAGATACTTCAGAAGTCGGGAATTTTGAAGAACATAGTCATTAGACATCTAGCTCAAAAGTCGAGAAAGGTAATTTCCCACCATCTAGAAATCAAAATTTTCCAGGGGGAGGACCCCCGGATCCCCTTTCGTTTTTGGAAAAAATGTTTACCCCCACCCCCTAGGTTTGATTCCAGATCTGCATGATTCATATTCTCATTTATCTTATAAGTGGCCCCCCCCCCCACTTTGAAAAACGTTCCGCCGGCCCTGCAAGACACTCAGATGACTTGCTTTTCAGGCATGCCTTTGCCCTGACCAATGCATTTAAGTTTTCGACTTTTAATAATCTTTCCCATTCTTCGGGATAAGCTCCCATTGGAAGTCCGTGATGCAGCCCTTTTTTAATTTCAACTCTTTTAGTAAGCTGTTCAGAGAACACTATTATAACCATAAGTGATATTATTATCTTGCTTGAGCATGTCTGGATAACCGAGTCTTCTGGGTGTCTTCTTGTTTATTGTATCTGATTTTATTTTTGTATATAAAATTTATCTATTAAACAAATGTATAAAAAAACCCCAAAAAGTATAAATATATTTTTAATATAATAATGATGCTTTAAATGATGGTAATTGAAATGCTATTTTTTTTTCTTTATTGTAATTTAAAACTATATTTATAATAATAATAGGCCTATTAATAATAGATGGATTTATATAGCGCAGATAAACGAGGTCTCTATGCGCTCGGGACTAGATGTTGCACTTTTCAATAACTTTCTCCTCCCCTGAGAGTTGTTCTGTTTTGTTGTTCTCTGATCCCCATATCGCATGGAGACCCACCTCGACAGTAATTTATTTTACTTTTTGGTTATCCTGTCGGCCCTTGTGGAGAGTCAGAGACCAACATATTGATTACTGTATGAATATGTGTATGTATGATGATCCACGAGATGGATTAGACAGATTTCTGTTGAGTATGACTGTCTAAAACCCGACTGAAAATCACGGATCAAATCATTGTTTTTCAAGTGAGTAATAAGTTGCCGTAAACAGCTTTCTCTAAAATTTTAGATGTTACCGGTACTGTAACTTTAATTAAATGGGAAAGATTATTTTTAATCTTTCACGGACTCTTGTTCACGTGCCCAAGATGTATATTAAATTTTACAGACAGATTTTGTAGGTATAGCAGAAGTTTTAATCCTCATAATTTCTTCTTGATAAGTTTGCATACTTACTATATATTCGTTAGTCAAAAACTTAGGAGAGTATTTTTGGTGAAAAAAAATCAAAATTCAACAACTATTACTAACCTCATCTATAAAGGTTGGATTGACATTGCCTTCCCGCGTCTTCATATCGCAGTGTTTCTGTTGAGTATCATCTTCGATTTCAATTTCCAACGTAGAACTAGACCTACTGATAATCTTCATCTCTGTGTCAGAAATTACTTTCATCTTCTTCGTGGTAATACTGGGAGAACACATTAGTTTTTGTCGCCCTGGCCTACTCTTAATTGCCTTATACACGCGGTACGTGGAGACGCTTATTAAGATCATTGGCATCCAGAAGTACAGAAGAACATTTATGGTGTTGTTGTACACATTCACATATTGAAGCCCGTAACAGTACGATTTTATAAAACGACTTTCGTGATCCAGAAGTCCCCAGACTGTCTGAAGTGGAATCCAAATAACAAACGCCAAAATCCAAGTTGAAATACATATTTTGGCGACACGCATTATCTCCCTATGTACTCTATATTGGATAGGATTTGTGATGGCCTTATGACGGTCGTTAGCCATTGCCACCACCGTAAATACCGACACCTGTAGCAGCGAATGTTCCAAACCAACTTTAATCTTACAAAGTTCGTAGCTTTGGTTCCACGAGTGTCTAAAAAAAATAATGTTAATAGGCATCACTAGGAGACTCACCAACAAGTCACTGATAGCGAGATTTATAATATAGGCATTTTCGTAGGTACGTAACTTACGGTTTAGAGCGTAAACAAGGAGGACCAATCCATTAGCTGAAGTTGAAATGATCGCTATTGATAAGAAGCAGATGATTCGAATTAGAGAATGCTCATTGGTAAGGGATGGTGGGTATATGTCTGATTCTGAGATATAATCATCATCGGAATAATTCAGAGATGAGTCTGAGTCTTTGTACACGAAACTTAAGTTTGCTTCCATTCCACCTGTTACCACCTATGTGATTTTTGATACGTCGGACACTATATACAGCCTTGTAATAAGCAAATAGTTTGCCATGTTAACATTTATATAGTATAAGCCATAATGAAAACGCATTAGACATTTGTAAACCAATCGCTGCTAATTTTGTGGCTGTCATCTTGATGCATCAACGTACTGATTAATTATGGTTGTACCCTTGAACGATTTATCAGTGTTTTGTTGCTGGATATGTTTTCTTTTGTCATTGCATTACAGTATTAGAGAACCATCAATTAAAATGACGTCTGTTATGCCAAGGGTGCACGGAGTCGAAATAAATTAAAAACTAGAGTTCACTCCATATATGTAGGCCTAATACCTTCTCCCTGTATCACCCACTAACGTAATAATTAACCACTAATGTAATATTAACCACTAACGTAATCAAAATCAACCACTAACGTAACATTAACCACTAATGTAATAAAAATCAAACCACTAACGTAATAAAGTCATTAACCACTAACGTAAGAACTCTTTAACCATTAACGTCAACATTTACAACTTGGTATAATTCTATTTCCACTTTATAGCATTCCAAATTGAGTAACTTTATGGAGAAAATGTAAAAATATCAAAAAAAGTATCAATCGAGTTTAAAGTTTACAGTATTGTCTATACAATGGCTCGTGTGCACCATAAAGAACCTAGTACATCCTTCGAGACGAGTAGGGGGATACCCCGGTGTCCTGGAACAGACAGCCCCTGTGGGGGACGACGAGAGTTGCTGGGTTACCGGGTGCACTGACACGAAGGGACCCTTAGGGGCGAAGAAAGTCTTTGATCGAGTTCCTAGTCCACATATGAAGTGCCCCGAGCATCTTATGTTAGATGGATATGTGTGCTTTATAAAACGACATTATTATTATTATTAGTATTGTATTAAAATGTATTTTGTTATCTTTAGATTGAAGTTAATGAAACAAATTTCCAACATCAAAATTAGTCCAACTGGAATTAAAGATATTATAGGCCTACTCAAAACAGATTTTAAATAATCTAATGTTAAAAGTTATTACTAAAAATAGCGTTTCATTGAGAAGGTTATTAATAATTTTAATATCTAATTGATAATAAACTGGAGATAATCTGATCATCTTACAATGTACAATTTATTAAATTACGTTTAAAGAATTAATTAAATAATAGGCCTTGTCCTATAGGCCTACCCATATAAACTGGATCTTAGTTCTGGAATTATATCTCATTATTGAAAACAATATATTTTTGCACTAATGGCGTTTCACACTTTACTTTTTCTGGGTTTAGGAACTGGTCAAACAGACTTTTTGCTCTAAGATTTTGTGGTGTAAACGGTTTTGATTGGCTAATCGCATGATTTAATTGAATAAAATTTGGCTAAACGATTCTTAAATTAAACTGTACTATTAAGATCAAGTATCGTACGCCGCTACGCGAAAAATAAAAACTGTTTGATTGAATTAGTGACCTGCCCATTTAGCCAAATAGTCACGGAGCCCGTAAACAAATACTGAGTATATTTATAATGTTCAATGTTTTTTCCACTGGGTTCAAATGCAGAATTGTTATGACTTGACCTTGGCAGATGAACTTTGTTATTTAATTTTCTAAATAATTTAGCCAAAAAATATAGGTCTAGATTTAAAATGTCATGCATCTTTCCAGTAAAATGTGGGCTCAATTGAATCATTTTTTATGACTTGACCGATAAACTTTTACATTTCATCTTAAAATTGTTTTATTATGATTTAGAATATTTTATGGATCATTGCAGTGAAATTTGGGTGCAATTGGGGCATGTTGATAATCTGACCCTTGGCACGTGGATGGCCTTTGAGTAGTAGTAAAAATCACTTTATTTGCCAATACATTAACATTCATCAGTACAAAAATAAAAAAAACAAAACTTTAAAAAATTGGCAAAGAAAGGAACAGAAAAGAAAACCTAGGTCTTGCCTTTAAATTGGGACAAGCAAGGGAAATGAAGATAGAACACAGTTGAGATGAGATATGGTGGGTCGATCCACATGCTGTCTCTTATACACATCTTCCCCAGACTGTCTGAAGTGGAATCCAAATAACAAACGCCAAAATCCAAGTTGAAATACATATTTTGGCGACACGCATTATCTCCCTATGTACTCTATATTGGATAGGATTTGTGATGGCCTTATGACGGTCGTTAGCCATTGCCACCACCGTAAATACCGACACCTGTAGCAGCGAATGTTCCAAACCAACTTTAATCTTACAAAGTTCGTAGCTTTGGTTATAGGGATTCAAATTAGAGACCAAAGCTGATAAAGACCACTAAAACCCCGGTCCCGAAAATGATCTTTAATTGGTGGTATGGAGGGAGACATGTAATAGGGTTGAGTAAAAGTGGTGCGATCAGTGCGGTTCCGATGGCCTTGTGGGAAATTTAGTATTTTCAATGCCCAATAATATTATGGCCTTGTTTTAATTGTGCGTCATAGGCCTACATTATTTCTTTTACGTTTAAATCTAACAATGTTTTATTTACATTGTGCTTTAAACATCTAGTCTATGTGTATGTCAAATAATGTATGAATATATTTTACTCGACCTTGATTTATTTACGAATCTTACGATTTCCGGCCATTTCCGGGGTAGGCCTACCATAATTATAAATTTTCTTGAACCCTCTATCTGTGAAACTGTGAAAATTTCTCCCTAGCCACCCCCTCTCCTCATTTCCTGAATCTCTCGCTGAAAAACCATGTAATACTGTTGATATTGCATCTCAAGAATCAATTAAAGACCTCGAATTATCAAAAATAATTCGAGGGGCTTCGTCCGCTCGATCCCAGCAGGAATCTGCGGCTCCTAGTCATTTTAGTCCACTCTCCACAAATTCGCACCCTCCCAATAAGAATCCTGCGTACAGGCTTGGTTCCTTAAATCAATGTGCACTCGACTAATTTTTTTTGTACTACTAACAAACAGAATAACACATTTACATTGACTAGGCTCGCAAACCTCACGTCCTCACAATGGATACATAATAGTCTTGAAGTGCTATTAAAAATATTCCTTTTAAATTTATACTTTGCCATCCAATCAAATATGTAATTTGAATGTAAAAGAAAAATAAAATTTATCATTTATTTAATCATTATATAGACCTTTACCTTTCAACTGATAACAATTAGAACAAGAACAAATTCTCTTAGCCAATTAATGGATATTTAAATAATAATACTATTTTCATTTCTCTTAACATTTTTAAACATAATGTTATCAAGCGAGCAGATCTGCTTTAAATGGGCGGGGGGGGGGGGGGGGAAACCATTCCATGAGACCACACCATCTTCAGATCTTCAGCCCCATCATGGAAAATTGGAGGAAATAGTACTCTCTAGATGACCGGAAATGACTCTCTTATATAGTAAAATTCATCATCACATCACATTTATAGTCAAAATGAAGCGCCAATAAATTTCTCATGATCTTTCATTAGCGATTTTCGACAACCATAGAGATCTAAATAATAAATAGGGCCTAATATGTGCGATGTATATAGTAAATTAACTTTGAAACGTTGTCTTTGATGTATTTAGTTTACTTACGTGAGTCCACACCCATCTCAGCCCCTGGTTGGGGCGGAGGCGCAAAATTTGGGTATAGTAAAAAAAAAAATAAAAGAAAGAAAGAAAGAAAAGAAAATAATAATTTGTCCTCAGTACTGTTTCATGATGTCATTATAATTTACTTCCAAGCAGGCGACCACATCTTTCTTATTATTTAGTTGGGTGCATTGCATTTTATAATAATTACCTGAATAGAATGGGGTAGATAAATAAAATAAACCAAAAAATTAACGATTATATTAAAAAAAACAAAAACAGAAAAAACTACCATTTAAGAAAAACCATTGATTTGTCGAAATGTTCAGAGCAAAATAATAATTTAAAAAAATTGTGTCAGAAGTGGGATTCGAACCCACGCCTCCATTCGGAGACCAGAATACCCTGTGCCTGCGATAACTGGCAAGGTTGAACCTTGAGTCTGGCGCCTTAGACCGCTCGGCCATCCTGACAACTGCTTCAAAATGCTGTAAATAAATTCTATATTCATTGGTTTACAGAACTATAATTAATATTTTGTAATTTATGTTATTATTAATCCAATAACAGTTAGAGAAACGATATTTAGACTTGATATACTTAGATGCATTTTAATTGGCTAAGATTCTGGCCGCACTTTACCACGATTTTTTTGCACCACTCCGGCAACCCAAATATGGGAATGAAACTAAACAATATTTAGAATAGGAGATCTACGATAGTCAAACTAAGTATTGTAAGACAAGTATTTTAATTTATGTAAAAAATGTATATGCATTTTAAATATTTATTTAAAATACTTATTGAAAGACGTGATTTATTTACCGATATATTTCATAGTGCATTTGAAAGTACTCTGCATGTTGGAAAATCCGAGGATCGCGAACAAAGATGTCGGCCACCAGGAAAAGTGTAGTGTAGTGATGTGATCGAAACATAGGCTTGATATTTGTGTGTGTTTTAAAGGTTATTGTTCTTTATATTTTAACATTGTCTGCTTTTATTAAATATATATCTTTGAATATGATTTTGTTTTTTAAACTGAATATAGGCCTTAGGCCTAGCTAAATTTACTTGATGAAAGCTACCTACCCTAGGCGGGTCTCTGGGCCTAGCTAGGCTAGTAGTAGTAGGCCCCCTAGGCCTAGTCCTAAACTAGCTAGGCCTAGATGGTACTGCCACCGGTGTAGGGCTTGGGTAGGGAGAGCTAGGGCCTAGAGTCTCTGAGAGGTAGTAGTAGTAGGCTCTAGACCTTGCTAGGCTACATTTTTAGGGCTTACCCACACTAGGCAAAAACCGAGAAATGATTGCTGAAGCTTGTTCCATCCATGATTTTATTGTGCCAGCAAAGTAAGCCATACTGTATGTAAGTGTAAAGCTGAAGTATTTAAATGTTGTCTTTTTTTTATTGCTGTATTTCATGACTACATGTAATTCAGCAGTTTATGAAGTTGAGAATAAACGTTTGTAGGCCTAGTTGCGCGGATGGTACATAAAAAACTAGCTCAACTTTGTGTGGAAAATCACTAGAAAAATAGGTGCACAGAATTATAACTAATGTGTGATAATACATGTTTATATATGAAGAGATAGGTCAAGGCCTAGGCCTAATTTTAAGTAAAATCTGAGCAGAAATCGGTGCTTTTTTAAAAAAAATGGGTGGACTGATTTCTTAGGCCTAATTTTTGCACAGGCCCTATTTTACAGTCTGGCAAGTAAGTAGGCAAAAACTGTAATAAATTGATTTGGACTTGTTAGTAAAAATATTAGTTTTCAATTCAAGCAATACAGGTATCCTATTAAAAAATTGTAACCATGATGCTTCCTCATCTGAATTCACCAAATGTTAGATCCAAAAACATGAAGGCCATCATCCATTTCAGCTGTGAACCAGTTTGGCTTCAATGTATTATAACACCCAGAAAGTCAGGAAATAAAACAAGTTTTGTTTGTCATATTAATATATATGCTATGGTTACATTATAAATAAATAGGCTTGAGAATTTTAAGTTTGTTAAACTTTTCATTTCTTTAATTTCTGGCCTATGCATTGTTGAATTGACATAAATAAAACATGTTGTTTTCCTTTCCCACAGTCTTATTATTACTTTTAAGTGAATGCCCAGGCTAAAAATTTTATGTTATAAGAACCAAAATAATATTTTTTTTTTGCTTAGCAGATACATCGAGGACTAGGCCCAACTCACAATGTTGTGGAAAAATATTACTGTAGCTTCAAAAAAGCAAAAACCTTAACTAGAATTTTACTTTGAGAAATTTGAGGGGTTGTTTTGTTTGTAGGATTTGGAATTTTAAGAAAGGACAAGTATACAGTATACTTTCTTAAAATCCCATGAAGTTAAATTCAAAAGATATAGACCAGTCATTATTGTGCACTCAGCTTACAGTATACAGTACATGGGGAGTTGACATGTCATAAAAACTATTTTAACTTTATAGAAATGGCTAATCTAAAGGAAAATTTTCAACACTATATGCCTAATTCAATCTTTTCTCCACTGAAAGTCAGCTGAGTTCTTCATGCCCTTTGCTTTCGCTCGGGGAAATGAGGTGGAACGTGAAACGGCATGTAAGTTAGGAGGTGGGTTTATGCCCAAAGTGGGCTTATACTAGAGAAACTACTAGAACCTAACCATTTAAAATGACCCTGATGACCTTGGGAAAAAGTATACTAGTCAGATATTGAAAAGTTAAATCTAATATTTAGTTACTCTCAAATGTGCTTGTAGAAGGAATGTACAATGTAATGATTCATTTGAAAAAAATATATAATTATAATATTTATCATTATATTTTGAATTATATACTTTGTCCAAGGTAATTTAACAAAAGGACGCACATCTCCGCTCTCGAACATAGCGCGTGCGTACAGTCCTTTGATCTTTACTGTGGCATCGACAATCCGATACTAGTTGCGAGTACAGCCGTCAATTATTA